GGGGGGGGGGGGGGGGGGGGGTGGGGGGGGGGGGGGGGGGGGGGGGGGGGGGCCGGAAGTTTGAAAATTGCGCCGACCGTTTTTTTCAAGGTCATATTTGAAGCACCATACCATTACAATTTTTGACATTTTCATCGGAGGGGGGGGGGGGGCTATAGCCTCTTATCCGAACAAGTAACTTTCTGGTTTCACAATTCGGCTAGTGAGCGAAGCGAGCGAGCAACAATTTGAGCAAAATATGTATTTTGTGAAAGTGTTATTTATAACCAAAATAAACGAGAAAAGATATCAAAAAATCATATGCGGGTAGCTCGCTAACTCCCCCCCCCCCCCCCCCCAATGACGCGCGAAGCGCGGAAGCTTTGACCTTTCATTAATTATTAGAGAAAGAAGACGATTTGTTGTACCATTCTCGACTCTTAATCCTTCTCTGAATTCAGTTTTCCCCCTCCCGCGCAAAGCGCGGAAGCTTTGACATTTTATAGTTTAATGAAATTATTAGAGAAAAAGATGATTCGTTGTTCCATTCTCGACTCTTAATCCTTGTCTGAATTCGGTTCCCCTCCCCCCCCCCCCCTCCCGCGCGAAGCGCGGAATCTTAGACGTTTCATTAAATTATTAGAGAAAGAAGACGATTCGTTGTACCATTCTCCACTCTTAATCCTTGGGTGTATTCAGTTTCCTCCTGCCCGCACAAAGCGCGGAAGCTTTGCCCTTTCATAAATTATTATAGAAAGAAGATTTGTTGCACCATTCTCGACTCTTATTACTTGACTGAATTCACCCCCCCCCCCTTCCGCACGAAGCACGGAAGCTTTGGCCTTTCATAGTTTAATGAAATTATTAGAGAAAGAAGATGATTCGTTGTACCGTCATCGACTCTTAATCCTTGTCTGAATTAAGTTCCCGTCCCCCCCCCCCCCTCCCACGCGTAGCGCTGAAGCTTTGACGTTTAATTAATTATAAGGAAAGGAGACGATTCTTTGTACCATTCTCGACTCTTAATCCTTGTCTGAATTAAGTTCCCGTCCCCCCCCCCCTCTAGCGCGTAGCGCTGAAGCTTTGACGTTTAATTAATTATAAGGAAAAGGGGACGATTCTTTGTACCATTCTCGACTCTTCCTTGTCTGAGTTAAGTTTTCCCTTGGCCGTGTGATGCGCGTAAGCTTTGACGGTTCATTAAATAATTAGAGGAAGAAGACGAATCGTTTTACCATTCTCGTCTCTTAATCCTTCTTTGAATTCAGTTTCCCCCTCCCACGCGAAGCGCGGAAACGTTGACGTTTCATTAAATTATTAGAGAAAGAAGATGATTCGTTGTACCGTCATCGACTCTTTATCCTTGTCTGAATTGAGTTCCCCCCCCCCCTCCCGCGCAAAGCGCGGAGGCTTTGACGTTTCATTAAATTATTAGAGAGAGAAGACGATTCGTTGTACCGTTCTCGACTCTTAATCCTTGTCTGAATTGAGTTCCCGCCCCCTCCCCCCCCCTCCCGCGCAAAGCGCGGAAGCTTTGACGTTACATTAAATTATAAGGGAAAAGAGACGATTCTTTGTACCATTCTCGACTCTTAATCCTTGTCTGAATTGAGTTCCCGCCCCCTCCCCCCCCCCCTCCCGCGCGAAGCGCGGAAGCTTTGACGTTACATTAAATTATAAGGGAAAAGAGACGATTCTTTGTACCATTCTCGACTCTTAATCATTGTCTGAATTGAGTTCCCGCACCCCCCCCCCCTCCTCCCGCGCGAAGCGCGGAAACGTTGACGTTTCATTAAAGTATTAGAGAAAGAAGATGATTCGTTGTACCGTCATCGACTCTTTATCCTTGTCTGAATTAAGTTTTCCCTTGGCCGCACGTAGCGCGTAAGCTTTGACGGTTTATTAAATTATTAGAGGAGGAAGACGAATCATTTTATCATTCTCGACTCTTAATTATTGTCTGAATTGAGTTCCCGCCCCCCCCCCTCCTCCCGCGCGAAGCGCCGAAACGTTGACGTTTCATTAAAGTATTAGAGAAAGAAGATGATTCGTTGTACCGTTCTCGACTCTTAATCCTTGTCTGAATTGAGTTCCCCCCCCCCCCCCCATTCTCGCGCGAAGCGCGGAAGCTTTGACGTTTCATTGAATTATTAGAGAAAAAAGATGATTCGTTTTACCATTCTCGACTCCCAATCCTTGTCTGAATTCAGTTGCCCCCCTCCCGAGCGATGCGCGGAAGATTTGACATTTCATTAAATTATTGGAGAAAGAAGACGATTCGTTGTACCGTTCTCTATTACACCTACCATGGATAAATCACGGCCGGGAGCGTCATAATTTTGTGTTATCGGGCGAGGGCCGGGGCCGGGGCGTAGCGACCAAGCGAGATTTTGCAATGTTGAATGCTGAAATTATGCATTCTAAAAAATCCCTAAGCCCGATATGTACGTTCTTTCCGCTATATTTATTTCTAACTATATTTCTAAATTTCCTGGGAGACTTGTCCCCACATCGGGCCCAGGATCGCTGCCCCTGTCCATGATTACTACCAACATGAGTTCTAATACAATCACAAGCGAGTCGATACGAGCTGAATCCAAATGAAGGGCAAAATAAGAGTTGTGAAGCGGCCCTACCGTTAATTTAAAATTTGACTGTTGAGTATATAACTTCTATTTAAAAGACATCCAAAATATTGTGCCCTTTTCAAATTTCTCACTAAAGAGTAATGACCGCAGGGGCTATTCTTAACGTTTAACTTTGAATCCGCGGCTCGAGATTTTATGCGGCCGGCCCTGCCCCCCTCTATTCAATAACGTTTGCCAGTGAGCCTTCTGGAATGTCCCCTAATCTCCCGATTACAGTTTTCCCATATTTGTCGTTACTGTCACTTAGCGCCATTTCCTTGCCTTTCCCCCTTTCTCACCGACTTTTCTTTTCCCACCCCCCCCCCCCTCCTCACCCTCTCAGTGTTATCTAGGGTACGCACATGGCCCTCTCTTTGAAAGCACCCCTCTGTCTCCGGAGTGTAAAGTCAGTACGGGCCGGATTTTTGTGTATTGCGGGCCGGACTTTGTTTCGTGAAAAGTAACTCTTTATCGGAAATTTAGGGAACACAAATTCGGTCCTCCGACCCCGGAGTTGGAGGGAGGGGGGGGGGGGGGGGGCTTTTTATTTATCTTTTCTCTTCTATTTTCTTTTCTCTTCTTTTTTCCTTTCTCTTCTCCTTTCTTTTCTCTTCTCCTTTTTTGTCTCCTCTTCTCCTTTCTTTTTTTCTCTTCTTTTCTTCCTCTTTTTTTCTTCCTTTTTTTTGCGCCGCCAATAGGGGGGGGGGGCCGCGGCCGTTTCGGCCCCCCCCCCTGGATCCGCCACTGCTTTCTAAATAATTGTAGGCCTTCTACCGCAATTGGGAGAGTATACCATTTTCAAAATCATACATGATTGATTACCTTTAATATTTTATTATTATGAAACAAAAAATTAGTATGAGCGATCTGAATTTACATTAAAAAAAAAAAATTCTATTCACCCTTTCCTGAGCGACAATTAAAAGTATCTTATTTAGTTGCATTTTAGTGACTTCCCCCGACCATGCCAACACTCCATAATTAAGATATAAGGCAAAATCAGAGTATTGAGTATAATATTAGCAAAATTTCTTGTGGCACAAAAGAACGTAATTTATAAATTACACCTGCAGTATTTTTAGACATAACTCTACCGATATTAGTACAATGTGATGCCCAAGTCAGCTTCTCATGAATGTGTAAACCAATAAACTTGGTGGAAGTTACCCTCACAATAATAGCAGGCGCGGATCCAGTAGGGGGCCGAGCGGGCCTTGCCCTCCCCCCCCCCCCCCGCAAAAGAGAGAGAGAGAGAGAGAGAGAGAAAAGGAAAAGAAGGGAAAGGAAAAGAAAGAAGAGAAAGAAGACAAGAAAAAAGAGGCTGTTGCCTCTCCCCCACCCCCCCCCCCCCCCAGCAAAAATTAAGAGAAGGAAGGAATGGGAAAGAAAAAAGGAAAAGAGGAGATGAAGGGAAGGAAAGAAGAGGAAGAAGAAAAGAAAAGAAGAGGTAAAAAGTTGCAATTTTCCCGCCAACAAGTTGTGGATTGGGGGCAGCCAAAAGGTCCTTGCCTCCCCCCCCCCCCCCCCCCCCGCCCCCGCCAAAAAAAAGAGAGAGAGAAGGGAAAGGGAAAGAGGAGAGCTAAAAGGGAACAAAGAAGAGGGAGAAAAGAAAAGGGTGAAAAGAAAGGGGAGATCAGTTGCGATTAATCCCGCCAACAACCTGTGGATCGGGGGGGGGGCGTAATTAGGCCACCTCCTCCCCAGTAAACTCAAAATAGAGAGAAGGGAGGGAAAAGGAAAGAGGAAAGAAAGTGAAAGGAAAGAGGAAAGAAAGTGAAAGAAAAGAGAAAGAAGATGGGTAGGATCAGTTCCGATTTTCACGCCAACAAGGTGTAAATCTGGGGGGGGGGGGGGGCACTTATTAGAGAATTCTTGGAGTGATCGAAATTTTAGTAACTCAGGAAGATGCAACTGAACAAAAGAGATGGGGATTCTTTGACTTTCCTCGTTCCTCGTATTTTCCTCGTATTTGATAAGTTTAGAAAAATCTATGAAGACAACAATTTTATTTTAAATATAAATTACAGCTCGGTGGTCGGGTTCGTAATACCATGGACCTTCTACATGGTATGAGGGTCGATATCAAATTGACGATTATGAGATGGACGAGTTGTCAAATTGGTATTTTTGTTTTCCTTTGCCGTATTATTATATCGACTATATAAAAACCGACCGATTTAGCCTTATGGCAGTTGACGTGCAGTAGATTATAATATTGAAACCAAAATAAAAGTAAAAAAAATGTCAAAATATCATGATTATCTTCATTCTCCATGTCCAAAATTACGAGATTAACAAGAAAGACCAACTGACCAATCAGGTTCCACTGGTATTCATAACTCAAATTCTGTTAGCATTTAGCGTGCTACACCCTTCACACGGAACTGGCATCGTCTTCCCCAAAGCTTGCTAAAATATGGCAATATAATTTGTCACTAGATCATTTTACGATTCAGACTGTTATCACTAGATACATTTCTTCTATTAAATCAACAGAACGTAACACAGAGCCTTCCTGAAATGATAAAATAACTAAAAATCTGCGACCCAAGCGACGGCATTTTAGCAATAGGAAAGCGGGAGGAAAAAGTCATGTGACCAGTGTTAACCAATAGGGTCAATGGTTTTCCAAGCATATAAAAGATTTTTCTGCTGATCCGCCATTGCTGTCGCTCGGAAAGCTCAGTGGTGTGATTTTGAATCTTGACCGTGGAATGGACACCAAGAGCCATCCGGTGCTGCAGGGCTATCAGCAGCAAGTAGAGATTTCTTCTTGAGGGTATAAAGCTAATATTTTTGCCTTTTGTCCTCTAAATATATGTAAAATTAAAGAAAGTAAATGATAATTAATGGTCGTACATCTACGTCTATTTGGTTATTGTAATGCATAAGAAGTACGTATGTAGGCTAGCGTAGATGCTTTCCGCGGTCTCGGGACGAACGATGTCACTGAAAAACGACTTGTTTTGACCTATTTCGACGATATCAACGCTAAATATTTATTCCCTTATGAACTCTAATTGCTAGAGGTACATAAGGTTTCAAAATTATATTTATCTGGAGTCTGTATCATGCCAAAATCGGTCTAAAACATTTGAAAATTTGACAATGGTGATTTGCACAATGGAAATGCCGCGTAGGTTACTCGAGTGGGATGTGTAACGCCAACGGTATGCATGTGTAGTGTGTAGAATTAGAAAATTTGTGAATTCATTTTCTAGGTTCTATCTTAAAGTTGTAGGCCTAGGCCTACATGTACCTAAATTTAAGTTAGATTATGTAAAGAAAACCAAAAGCTTTGGCTGTTCTTGTGTAGGTACCATGGCCATGCAAAGTAAAGTGGAATTGGAAAAAGCCACGTTTGAGTTTCCAATTTCCAACATGCGCGCTTCAATCAAAATTAAAGAAATTGCTTGTTTTCATGTTAGAGGAGTTCTGATGCAGTGGGATTAAATTTAAAGGGTAAAGAAACATGATTTGTTATAAATAAACGTATCAGTCGTGTAGCACTACGGTTTGCTTAGCCATGCCATGGTTTTGATTGTGTGACGTCATGACTCGTTCAGCGGCGCGGTGCATGCGTGCCAGATGTGCTGCAGCTGCCCAATTGTACCCTAGCAGCCGCAGAGGGTTGCTATCGGTATGATAAATAGGGGCGTTGGTCCGAGAGTGAGGATCGTCTCCATAAACGCAAACGGACTCGTACAACCGCAGAGCCCAGAAGAAAAAAAGTGGACGATCCTTTTTTTAGGAAGCGATTTGTCCGCGTTTATGAGGATATCCTCGTTCTCGGACCAGCGCCCCTACTGATGATATTGTTTAAACGGATCATTACCAAGTTCTTTTTGCCCAATTCACCGAAAATCCTTCCCACAATGCAGTTCAGAAATGACATCACTGTATGATTTACATCACTCCCCATACGTTGATACCAAGACCGTTTAGGCATCATTTGATTATAAAAGCCCTTCATTTCTCCAGACAATTTTGACCTGTTCTAATTTTAGCAGCTTTAGTGTGTAAAAAATGTATTCTAAAACAGTAAATTTGTCAGATTTTTTATAGTTTTTGTATGGATTCTTGACATGTTTATCTATTGGTTGATGCAAGTTTTTCCAAGAGCGAGCCTGTGAAAGGTACAGTTGTATGTGCGAGAAGAGATTTTATGCATATGCGATAAGCTGTTGCTTATGAATGTAGCTGCCTCTGTTGGTATATCCAGACAGTTCAAACCTGTCTAATGACTCCAGACTTTTTTTTAGCACAAAGATTCGTGCAACATGTTAAACATCTCTACACTGACAGATTAGTCCAGAAGTCTGTACATTATCAGGCACATCATTGAAAGAAAAAAAGAAAACTGGAGGTCACCCAACATGTACCCATTGCGTGATATGTGATAATGAGTATGCCACTGCATTTTTTGATGCGTGCATTAGTATCGTTGCTTGCGATAACAAATCTTGGCACTAAACCTGATAATTTTGGACATTAATCTTATTTTTGCCAACCCTGTCATTTCACTGGGCGTAAGTTTGGGATTTCAGGTTTTCCCTCTGATATTTCATTTTTGGTGGCAGAATTAAGGTTTTTAGGATGATTTTTATGATTTTTTTTTTTTTTTTTTAAATTCTGTTGTCACGACTTTGTCTGTGTGTGTGTTTACAACAGGTTGATTTGTGTGGATTTATATGTGTATGCAGTCGAATTTCGAAAATGTAAATATTTTGTACAAATTCAGTTATTTTAACACCTGTGGCTGTAAGGTCTAGAATTGAGAAACGGCAGCCTGTACATGGGAAGTTAGGTTCAGATTGGCGATCTGGGCCAGCTGGGGAATGTTCATTGCATTGGTACATCAAAGCTGTGATGTAATTGACTAGTTCACATGCAAGATACTGCCAGCTGCTGCCTTTTCGGTCGATGAGAGTGTGTTTCTCATGATCGAACTAGTCTACTAAAATATCATGTGACAGACTGACAGTGATGGGCAAACGTTAGATCTCAAGCACTGTTCACACTATGAAAATGACGGACAAAGAAAGCGGACAAAATATACAGTTCCTCAATTAGATAAAGGAACATCCCTTCACTACTATTATGTAAAAAGGTGAATATGCATGTGACACCTGTTCTACACATTTGTACATAATAGCAGTGAAGGGATGTTCCTTTGTCTACCTGAGGAACTGTATATTTTGTCCGCTTTCTTTGTCAGTCATGTTCATAGTGTCATTAGGCCTACTGTTCATACTTAAATGATTCTTTGATGACCATCAACTAATAATATGAAATGATGCAATAACTTACTGAAATCAAGTGCAATGTAACCAACACCTGAAACTTTCATGCTCATTTCATGAAATGCAAATTTTGAGAGTGGTCTTAATTTGTGAAAAATTTGTGTCGCAAAGTGGTTGAATTATAATTGATTTCAACATAAGGAATTTGAAATGGGCTTATGTTTACACTTTTGTCAGCTTGATAAGTACGAAATTTGGAATTTAGTATGTTGGTACTCGTAGTTTATTTCTAGAAAATATATTTTATTTGTTTTCTTTATTTTAAATTTTTTTCTTTCAGAGATAACAGAAAAAGTGCAGAACTGGCGACTTTGTGACGCAGGTTTCCACCTGCAATCAACAGGTTACTGTGGTCTCAGTAAACGGACTGTAAATGTACAGCAAGGAAGCAAAACTTTCTTTAATGAAAACAGAAATGGTTAGTTTTTTGTATATTATTTTTAGCATTGTGAAATTGACTTGGAAGGGGGGTAGGGGAGATTTTACTGGCCTTGAATGCTGTCAGGTTTAGCTGCAGACCACTATATTGAGTTAGACAGGCAAAACAAAATCTGAGAGGAATTCTATGGTAATAGAAGGGGCATCCAGCTCAATGTGAGAATCCACTCCAGATGGATCACCTCTCCTACAAACATCTAAGCCTTTTTCAACTTGGACCTATGCTCTAAGGAGAGGGGGGGGGGGGGGGGGCTGATAATATGGAAGGATGATCATATGCGATCAACACCTCCAATTCAGCCAATGGGATTCGCAAACATAGTAATGAACTGCTGTAGGCCTGAGTCATCACGGGTTTTGCCGAACCCGGGTTTGACTTGAAAATTTCGGGCGGGGACCGGGTACCCGAAATTTTCACCACTGCACTGACACTAAAAATCGTGTGCATGCAGCGGCGGGAGTTAGACTAAGTTGCTGTTCTAATAATGCGACGGATAGGACAGTTACTGCTTTCAAAACAATAAAATAATCAATTGAATTAAATTAAGATGCTTTAAAAAATAAATAGATATCGTTTCAGTTGACGGTAGGTGTTTCTATCGCTCTAAAATTGAGGCTGCAAGAAAGGAATCACGCTTTGTGGTACCGATCGAGTGCGTTCAGAAACGGAAGTGGAAATAGATCTATGACCCACTGAAGACAGAGCAAGAAAGTGCCACACAGAAGACTAAATTGTTGATCAGACTATTGCAATTAAATCGTAATACTCAAGGCATTAATTTAATTGTCAAATTATATCCACAATATAATGATTTACCCTTGATAGTTTGAGGAAGGAAAATAAATTAAAGCTCTTGAATTAACATCGAAGTGCCTTTCGTTTGTTCTAAAAATGCGTGTATAACGGCAAGCAGAAGTTACGAGTCAAGCTTGATATGTTTACATCCCTACACCGTCATCCGACCTGATCGGAACAATAAGCATTAAACCGATTAAAAAACATCACTTAAGACTTTGAGGGACTCCAATTCAACAAAATTACCGTAAAATAGTTATTTGCTTTGACAAATAATACTATAGGTATTCATATTATCTTACAGAAATAATGATATTTCATGAGCTACGTACTCGATATCGAGTTTAGCTAGCGATAATTTTGAAATGAGACGTAGTTGTCATGCAGTAGACTGTAGAGGGCAGTATGCAGCAGAGAGAGGAAAAAAAGCGCGGGCCTGAGATCACGTGATATTCACGTGACTATTACGTGATTTTTTTTCCCTCTCTGCGAGCTGCCGTATTCTGTCTATAGCTAGCCTACTGCGCTGCAAGCATGACAACTACGTCTCATTTCAAAATGATGGCTAGCTGAACTCGATATCGAGTACGTAGCTCATGAAATATCATTATTTCTGTAAGATATTATGAATATCTATAGTATTATTTGTCAAAGCAAATAACTATTTAACGGTAATTTTGTTGAATTGGAGTCCCTTAAAGTCTTAAGTGATGTTTTTTAATTGGTTCAATGCTTATTGTTCCGATCAGGTCGGATGACGGTGCAGGGATGTGAACACGCATATCGAGCTTGACTCGTAACTTCTGATTGCCGTTATACACGCATTTTTAAAACGAACGAAAGGCACTTCGATGTTATTTCAAGAGCTTTAATTTATTTTCCTTCATCAAACTATCAAGGGTAAACCATTATATTGTGGATATAATTTCACAAATAATTTAATGCCTTTAGTATTACGATTTAATTGCAATAGTCTGATCAACATTTTAGTCTTCTGTGTCGCACTTTCTCGCTCTGTCTTCAGTGGGTCATAGATCTATTTCCACTTCCGTTTCTGAACGCACTCGATCGGTACCACGAAGCGTGATTCCTTTCTTGCAGCCTCAATTTTAGAGCGATAAAAACATCTACCGTCAACTGAAACAATATCCATTTATTTCTAAAGCATATTTATTTGATTATATTGAAATATAAGTTTGTGAATTGCATATTTTTAGTTCTATATTTCAAAATATCAGTGTGAAATTTAATTTTGAAAAACCCGAAACCCGAAAACCAAAAACCGGGTTTCAGCTCGACGGTCGGGGCCCGGGCGGGGACCCGTTTCGACTCAGGCCTAAACTGCTGATATAAACCCAAGTCTGATGTACATGATCAAATGGATGTTGTTTCAGGGCAAGATTGGCTAAGGGCATCTAACGGGTTATTGAAATCATTTATTTATTCATGAATAATATACACAATTTAGTGTTATTACTGTATTTGTACATATAGTTTATTTTTAAAATGAATATCCCAGCTTAAAGTAAAGGTTTAAAAGTTCTGGGAACAGTTGAAAAATAGTTTGTGAGCGTTATTGTATTATGCAAGTGTGAAAGAACATCAGGTAAAAAAAATTCCATGGAAAGCATGGCGCTTAAAATGCCTTAATGTTCTAAATGTGGCATGTAACATAAAAATCAGGACAGATTTTTTAATGCCATATGTCCATGTAGTCTTATATACATCTTTCTGTGTACAGTGCTTGTAACTTAGCCAAGACTGGGCCAATTTTCTTATCATTCTGATGTTTTCAGAACCTTGCAGTACATAACAATACTTATATGCTAGATGATCAACGTTTTCTGATCGATTCCAAAGCGTTTCTTTCACAATACAATCGCATGACCAGAACTCCCATTTTAACTTTAAGTGGGCTGCTTGCTCAAATAGACTTGTAGAGTAGAGTAGCCTGCAGAGTTGTACTCCTATTGATAGCTTGTTAACGTTTATGATGCATACTGATTTCATGATATCAGTGAGCATGGAATTTAAGTTCCAGTCGTGAAAGCTTGAGATAAAATGATGATAACCCTCATGCGTGTCATTTGAACTCAGCTAATGTATTTCTGGCTTTTACCAGTTGTAGGTGTTTTGCTTACAGGTGGAAGGGTTAGGAAGCTAGGCTGTATACATGATACAAGTTGGCTTCTGATTATTCATGACACAGTTTGATTTAGGAGAGACAAAAAAGTTACTGAGTGCTGATTAGGTATATAATGGTGCACACTGATTTCATGATGTCATGAAAACAAGCACCATTACAAATTTTGCTAATAATATAAATTACATAAAATCAGTGTAATTAAGATGAGATAATGTATACACAATATAATAATAAAGCTATGTAAATGTTTACAGGGACTCTGTAGTTCAAAGTATTTCAAATGTCCGACAAAAAAACAAAATCTTACTAACAGGACAACGTTTCTTTCACAATGCAATCGCATGACCAGAACTCAACTTTATCTTTAAGTTTGATATTTATTCTCATTTCATTTTTCAGAACGACATGGCCTCAGCTACAGGTCAAACTCAAAGTAGGCAGCCTGGGAGGCAGACAAACCAATTGCAATATCTTCAAAAAGTGGTGATGAAGGCACTATGGAAACATCAATTTGCCTGGCCATTTCATCATCCTGTCGACCCAACCAAGCTTGCTCTACCGGTGAGTATCATGATCTGAGATTTGTTTTCTCTTTCCTCAGGGTTCACAGTAACCTTTTTTGGGAGATGGACCAAATAAGACTTTTCAGTCAGTATGCATGAGTGCGATGTAAAAAAAAAAAAGCATTAAAATCAGGGGTCTGGACCTATATTTTGGGTGCCCACGTGTTTAAATTTTTTTTAAAAATACGATACTATCAACAAACTACACAGAAAACAAGCTTGTTTTCTTTAATGTTAAGTGTATAGTATAGGTAGCAGAATAAATCACAATTTCATTAAACATCATCCGATATTAAATCTGATTTTAGATGGGATTTTTCCTCATCTTCTGCAATTCATTTAAATGCAGGGAAAGTATTTCATATGTAAGAAAACAGCTCGGGAAGGGGGATAAGTGCAGACTCAAGAAAGTGGTTATATCTGCTTGTTCATTCATTGTCTCTGATTGTTCTTTATACCTTGACGGGCAAGAGGCCGAGTTTGAACTTTGGTTCAGACCATGACAGCACGCTTAAATCAGTTGAGGTCATAGAAATCGCTACTCCGTGGTTTAATCCCAGCCTTCCTGAAATGAGTGGAATGAGTTGATTCATGCCATGGAGACATTTTTAGTATACTATGTGTTTGTTGTGGTAGGTATTTTGTGTTATGCAGTAAAGCCAGGCCCCTCAGAAGTATCTGTGTGGTTTGTGATAGTTTGCACATTTCTTTTTAGTAGTAATAATTTTGTGTAAATTTAATTTAGTTTATATTTCTATATTTGACTATTATAAATTATTGAATTCTGCTAAATGTATTTTGTATTTAGCATGGCCATTACTTCATTGCGACATTGTAAGCTGTGCCCAAAATTCTTTTAAAGCTGATATCTTCAAATCTTATGTTTCTATTCATGTGTTTTCTTTGAAAGGATTACTTCAAAATCATCAAGACTCCAATGGACCTTGGTACAATCAAGAAGCGATTGGAGAGTATCTACTATCACAGTGCAAAAGAATGCATCTCAGATTTCAACCTCATGTTTACAAATTGCTATGTATATAATAAACCTGGAGAGGTAAGCATAACTTTATGTATCTCATTTTAACTTCTTGCTAATGACAGTTATCTCTGCATAACTCAAAATTTTCCCCAAGTCAACTATTTTTTTGGACCAAACTATAAAAAATGTGTTGTTTACACTTTCTAAGTCGAATTTTGCACAATTCAAACTATTTTAGGGAGTCCCTACAGATTCAGCTTATGCAGAGATAACTGTATTGATTTTAGTAGAATTATATGATCATAGTCTAGATTTTGAGTAGTGATTAAAGGTAAGATTTGGTATAGATGGTTATACTCATCATCCTGCATTTGCCATTGTGCATATTAGACAAAGATGTAATGTATCTTTGAAAAAGATCTCACATTTCACATTTCATCACAAGACAAATGAAGAAAAAGAGAACTTGCCTATTCTAATTTATCATGTCAGGAAAAAAATGGCGGCTGAGTATTCGAGTATGAGAAATCGAACTTGAGTAGTTGTTAATAGTTCGAGTACTCGAGTATTCGACTACTCGTCGCAGCCTTAGTCAGAGTCATCGATATTCCAGTGTAATAAACATAACATTGAGCTTATTATCTAACAAAGTTCCATTGCCTTCTTATCTTCCAGGATGTTGTTCTTATGGCACAAGCCCTGGAGAAGCTCTTCCTGACAAAGGTTGCACAAATGCCACAGGAGGAAATTGAGCTGGCTCCCCCAGTGAAGCCAGGGATGGGAGACGACATATCAGGGCCAGGCAGGAAAGGAAGAAAAGGCAGAGTACCAGGAAGGGGGATAAGTGCAAACTCAAGTAAGTCCTTATGTCTGCTTGTTCATTCATTGTCTCTAATTGTCTTTTATACCTTGACGGGCAAGAGGCTGAGTTTGAACTTTGGTTTAGACCATGACAGCACGCTTAAATCAGTTGAGGTCATAGAAATCGCTACTCCGTGGTTTAATCCCAGCCTTCCTGAAATGAGTGGAATGAGTTGATTCATGCCATTGAGACATTACAGTTCAGTATACTATGTGTTTGTTGGGGTAGGCAGTTTGTGTTTACAGTTAACCTTATCCCCCTCAAAATTATTTCAGATAAGAAAAATTGATATGTAAGCATAATAATCAATTACAGGCTTGTACAGATATGACGTGGTAAACCAGCACTAAAAACATTTTGATGCGTCTTACACTTTTCGTCATCATAGTAGCAGTTAAATATTGAGATGGATGGGCACTATTGCATTCAATCATGTGTCGGGTTTTTTCTGTGTCTTTTGCTAATTTTAATTCTCTGTCGACCACATTTCCGTTGGACATCTTTTCGCTGTTTCAGCAACAGAGAAAATCATATTTACTAGATCTATCATCTGCATCAGCTCCTCATTCCCAAATCCCCAAAACAGGCTGGCCTCCAATCCTTTTGATACATTGCCCCATGCCTACAGAATAAACTCCTTGCATTTCTAAGAAATAATAATGCACTTCACTCAAAATACATCTGAAAATGAAAATATACCTCTGCAATATTTTATGACTTCTTCATAGACTAAGGGACAGCACCGTTTATATTTGTATTATTGACTTGGGGCATTTATTTATAAAGGAATTTCAAGTAAAAAAAATTATGCAAAGTTTCCATTTCTTAGTATATGATCACAGTGTTATATTCTGACCCCTGGCATTACTGTACATAGTAGGCTGTAATCATTCTATTTATATTTCTTTGCATTTTAAATAAAGTAAATTTATATATTTAATACTAATATTGATTTAAACCCAAATGTTTAGATCTTTTATTCATTAATAAGACATTCTTCAAATAGTTAAGAAAGAACTCTAACCAAACTCCCTTGCTTACAACTCACAGGAAAGTTTAATCCCACTAGAAACTTCAACATTTTAGAATGATGGATTTGCTTTGTATCCTAATGGCTACCAGTCAGCCTATGCAAGTTGCTAATGATTAAAGCAAGTATTAATTGTCATGTTCGCTTCTGGTTTTTTCATCAGGGTTAGGTATTCAAAATGCCTCACCTCAACCATCGGTACCCAATGCAGCGACGACACAGCTCCCAGGTCCGCCAGCGAAGAATGCGTATGTTGCTCCCCTTGCCATGAAGTCACCTACAGCAACACAACCATCAACAGAACTTCCTGTGCTACCCCCAGGAGCAGCGAGTACACAGGCCACGGCTGCAGCCATGTCAACCTCACCGCTGGTTTCATCCCCGCCTCCTATATCAACTCCAGTGGAACCAGTAAAGCAGAACTCTCTTCCAGGACCTCCGAAAGTAAGGTCGCCTGCCAAGGTGAGTTGAAAATTTAGTTAAGATCAGAAATAAGTTTGACAGATAGTTTGTTTATTTATATCAGAAGCTTATTGTGAGCACATGAAGAATCATGGTCCACAATTCAAGCATTTGGGATGTACATATTTAAAATGACATCTGGATGTTGGCAAACTACTCTGTAATGATACATTGTAACTTCATTCACTTTTGTTTGTAGTTGTCTTCCATGAGTTCTAGGCTGCAGTAATTATGTAGACCTCTAATAAAGTTGAGAAAATGTAAGCTCTCTGTGGGAATCATTTCTTTTAGAAATCATGGTTGATGTGAACCATTAGTGCTTCAGAACAAACATGTCCCCAGGTTACACATATACACATCCCCTTTGTACTCCTTAAAATCGTTAAAGCCTATCTGCACTAGTTTGGCCAGGAGGGATTAGACCTTCCTGCGTGATCACTGGCAGGTGGTTATATCATCAAATCGGCTCTCAATTAACATAAGAAATAAGGGACCATGGAGGATCAACGATACCCCTTAGGCATTTTTGGCTGTATAGAGGGCGCAAGGAGCTACAAGTAGGGCAGTCCCGCTTTAAAATGAACTCCTTAAAATAATTATTTAATAATATTTGTGTATACAGACAAAAGGAGCAAGGGGAGTAAAGAGGAAAGCAGACACAACCACACCCACAACAGTAATAGAACCTCCTGAACCCATAGTGGCTCCAAGTGCCGACTACCACTTAGCCCAGGCCAAGCCAGCTAAGATCCCGGGCAGGAGAGAGAGCAGTAGGAGAAACATCAAACCTCCCAACAGGGAACTCCCTGAATCAGATCAGCACCAGAAGGGAAAGAAGGGCAAACTCACAGCTCAGCTCAAGTACTGTTATGGTGTCATCAAAGAACTCATGTCAAAAAAGCACTCGGTAAGGAGTCGATTCAATCTGCTTTGTCTGTAATAATTCATTTTGTGATCAGACTATTTTGGAGGTATTGTTCTATAAGTATCTTTCCTCACAATTCATTCCTCTTTAGTGCTTAAGAGTCTTAAGGACCTTGTAGTTGCAGTTTTATGTGAAATTTGTTATTTGGATTTTCTTTTCTATTGAACATAATACTGTGTATATATTTGACTAATGCCTGCTTGAATTGTACTGACTGTAATATAACAAAAAATGGTTCAAGATACCTCTGTTCATGCATATTTTCCTTAGTTTCTACTCATGATTTATTCCTTTTTTTACCTAAGGCATATGCATGGCCTTTCTTCAAGCCAGTTGATGCAGATGTACTAGGACTGCATGACTATCATGAGATCATCAAGACTCCAATGGACATGGGTACAGTAAAGGTAAGACACATTTTATAATATTTAAAAATATCATTGGTTTGCTTGTTGATTCTAGGAGGTTATTTGATTGAAAATACAGTATTGCATGGCTCTCTTACCCAGGCTAGTGATTTGGAGTTGAAGTGGTATTTACTAGACTAACCAACATTGCTCAAATTTCCTCGAGCAATGTTGAGAAAGAAAGAAAGATACATTGGTGGATAGTTTGTTTCCATATCAAAAACTTTATTAAACCATAACTAAAATTGCTGATAATAATGTAAAGTGATTGACTTGAAAGCAACCAACAGTTTCATTTGTAAGACATGTATATTACTTTGCTACAATGCTTTCCCATGTTACACACTTGCAATTGGTACCAGTACTTTATAAATATGTAATTAATAAACAGTGTACATCTCACTGCATCACACGCCATAGTGTGCAACTTGTAATAAGCCCTTAGCATTCTCTTAGCAGTCTTCTCAAGACCTCTAGTTTATTGAATTATACTTTCAGGTTGTTTTCATTTTCTGCATTTTTTAATATATATTTGACTTAAGGCACCCTTTTGTACATATCTATAAATGGCTACCTTCTATCTGATGAGGCTACCCTGGGTAAACAAGACATATTATTATTATTATTATTATTATTATTATTATTATTAACAGCTGCCACAACCTAAAAATTCAGTACGTCTTACCTCGACGGGCAAGAGGCCGAGTCCTTAACTTCGGTTGGGACAGTGAAAGCATGCTTAAATCAGTTGAGGTCATAGAAATCGCTACTTTATGGTTTAATCCCAGCCTTCCTGAATAAGTGGAATGAGTTGATTCATGCCATGGAGACATTGACATTCTTACACTTCTTGAAATCATGGGTCTGTGTGTGCCTTTTCCCTCAGGGATCTTTGTATACTAGGCCCCTGTTTATATTTTTGACAATTTTAGGGCCCAACGGGCAAGAGGCAGAGAACAAAAACTGGGTTTTTACTGTCAATGTCTGTTTTGATAGTTTATTGTACTGATAGATTTGACTTGATTAGATTATTGCCGTATTTGTGAGGAAGACACAAAGCATGAAACCGTAGAAACATCCTGCAATCCCCAGGTTTGTCATGAATTCATAGATAATGGAGATAGAAGAAGGCTATTAAATGCATGCTGAGTACCCTTTTAAAGATATTGATTCAGTCATTCAATTCCCCCCCCCCCTCCCCCTTACAGGTAAAGCTCGAAAACAGGGATTACAAGAACGCCAATGATTTTGCTGCAAACGTCAGGCTGATATTCACAAATTGCTACAAGTACAATCCGCCGGACCATGATGTTGTAGGAATGGCTAGAAAGTTGCAAGTAAGTGGTCATTATTATTAATTGTTTAAATTCTCTCTTGTTACCCATTATGTAGACCCCTTAGTTTGTATTTGTCTTATGTGGACTTTCCAGAACAACATATTCATCATGATATTAAAAAGGAAGTTCAAGATATAGGTTCCATCACTCAGATCTATTAGCTTTTCAAGAAATGTTGATTTTACATTTGAATCTGTGAATTATACTTTGAAAGCAAAGATCAGATTTTGTTGTGTATGCAGTGTTTGTCTGGATTTTATGTTGGTAGGGTCAATCTAGATGGAGACACTGTGAACCCTGTACACATTCTAAAGATGCTACTATACAACATCTTTTGATGCCCATCCAAATGGGGGGTCAACTGTCAAGTAGTCTGAGAATGAAATAATATTGGAACGATGGCATGATGAATGAGCATTTGTTATTTGCGTGATATGATTGCAGTCAATAAAATGCCCCCCTTTTTTGTGTGGCTGCCACAACTTAAAATTTGTGTACGTTTAACCTCGACGGGCAAGAGGCCGAGTCCTTTACTTCGGTTGGGACAGTGAAAGCATGCTTAAATCAGTTGAGGTCATAGAAATCACTACTCCATGGTTTAATCCCAGCCTTCCTGAATAAGTGGAATGAGTTGATTCATGCCATGGAGACATTGACTTTCCTACACTTCTTGAAATCAGGGATCTTTGTATACCAGGCCCTAGCTGTTTATATTTTTGACAATTTTAGGGGCCAACAGGCAAGAGTCAGAGACCCAAAACTGGGTTTTTACTGACGATGTTGACTTTGAAAGGAATTAGTAAAATACAGGCTCCTTCTGATGAAAGCCACTAGAACACACACACACAAAAACAACTTAAAAACCACAAGTTTTTGTTAATTGTAATCATTGGCTGTTTTGTGTCAAGAAACTATCTTGACTTGGCAAAAGTTCAGCGATGTGATTGATTAATTTTGTAGCACAACACTTTAATACGTGTTTGATTTTTAAATAACCTGAGTTTACAGTAGTTCTTAATTCTTAATGTTTTTGTTGTTATTCTCCTTTGTCAGAATGTGTTTGAAGTCAAGTTTGCCAAAATGCCTGATGAACCATTGGACCCATCTGACCTAGAAAGTGACGATGAAAGCAAGGATGAAACCAAGGCAATGGATAGTCCGTCTGATGCTTCAGCTTCCAATAGTAGCTCAGAATCAGAAGACAGCGAAGAAGAGAGGGAAAAAAGGTTGTCAGAGTTACAAGAGCAGGTGCGTTTCTCAGTTCAATGACTAAAGTCACAATTGGACAGAAATTACAATCCTTGAATATGTGTTGTCCACAAGATTTAAAGATGTAACAGCGAAATGTTAAAATTAATTCTCAGCCATAAACCTTGTTCAAAATATGGCTCATATTGCATCCGACAGAGAGCATCTAAGAACCCCAGAGTTTCCAGTGAAATCAGATCAAATGCAAGTTTAATATTGCTGATTCTGATTTGTTGAAAGTCTCATTCTGTTTTATATCCAGATTTGAATTTAATGAAAAAACTATTTCCTTCGGTATCAAAATCTTTATGAAAGCTTTTGAATTCAGTAGTCTGTAAAAGCTCCTCACTCATTTTTAACCTAACCGTTATCTGCCCTTGATAGTAAATAATCATGTAAATTTGGACAGTTTCATTAGGATCAATGTTCTGTATAACAAATGTGTCAGACATAGCTAGGAAATTTCCATGATCATGGTTGTGTATTCAATTACTTGTCTGTTTTCATTCAGCTCAAGGCGGTACATGAACAGCTTGCAGCATTGTCATCACAAGCACATCGGAAAAAGAAGAAAAAGGACAAAGACAAAACTAAAAAGAAAGAACGAAAGGATATTGAAAAAGAGAAAGAAGAACTTGAAAAGGCCAAAGAACTTGAAAGGCAAAGAGAAAAGGAAATGGAAGAGATGAGGGAAAAAGAAAGGAAACTTTTAGAAGAGAAAGCTAGAGATGAGGAGAGGTCAAAATCAGCATCGAAAAGACCAAGGAAGCCTGCAAAGAGCACAGAGGACAAGGCCAAACCCAAGAAAACAAAGTAAGTCTTCTTGCATCTTAGCTGTCAGCTTTCATATAGAGCTGTGTACCATGTAAGTCAAAGAAAAGGTTACACCTAGAAAATTGCTAATTATTTAGAAAAAAATCATCTATGAACAGTAAATTATTATACATCTTATGACAGAGTGTTTTATCCCAAATCATTTGGTATCACTTTTGTGGGCTGTGTTCATGCTTGGATGAACAGGAGGCATTGTTTGCGAGAGTGCAAAAATCGACTTGCGCTAAAGTAATGCCTACTGTATGTTTTATGTTGGGATTAGCGGAGTGAGAGAATGAATTGAATGTATCAAATAAAATGCATTGCATAATAATAATAATAATAATAATAATAGGTATTTGTATAGCGCCGTCTATCTAGACAATGCTATTCCGAGGCGAACAAGAAAAATATGCTTTTTGTAGAAGCAAAGTCACACACAAGCGCCCACAAAATGTTTGTTGATATTCGATATTTGATATGTGTTGCGTTACGGATGTTTTTTGCATCTGCAAAGACCAAATTAATACCCAAATCCCAATTGTTTTATTCAAACATCACATACGCAACTTTGGCGCAAGTCAAATTTTGCACTCGGGCAAACAATGCCTCCTGTTTATCCAAGCGTGAACACATACCACACAAAAATGATACTAAATGATTCAGGATAAAACACTCTTTCATAAGATGTATGATAATTTACTGTTCATAGATGATTTTTAAAATAATTAGCAATTTCCTAGGTGTAAACTTGTTTTGGACTCGCACTGTGTGTACAAGGATGCTGGTTTTCAGGCTTTTTCTCATCTTCTTGAAACTTTGATGAATACAAACATCCGATCTAAAGCCCACTGGCATCCCTGTATACAACTGTGGGGGTACATGCATTATGAAGTTTGAAATGTGGCGCTGTACTAACAACATCCTTACAAGACAACAAACAACTTAGGGCACATTATATGTGTGGAAAGGCCAAATGGCAGAGTTTTAATACCTTAAATGCGTTGTACTGCTTTGATTGGAATGATATACATTATGTTTTGAAAGACTGGTGATGGTGCAACCCCTCTTTTTTTGTAATGTCTTTCAGTAGACCGAGGAAGAATGCAAAGACCGCAGAAGAGAAGCCTAAACCCAAGAGAACAAAGTAAGTTATCCAGCTTAAAGAGAAGTTTCAATTCTGGGGAGAGGTGAAAAATAATTTGTGAGCGTTATCACTGTTATAATGCAAGTGTGAAAGAACATCAGAGAATAAATGTCCCTGAAAAGCATGGCTTTTCCAATGCCTTCATGTTCTAAATATGACAAGTAACAGTTTAAAAATGAGGCTACTCATTAATGGTAGCTCGTAATGGATTAGTGGATTGTGATAAATTGAAAGAATTTTACTCCTATTCATTATACCTAGTTTATTCAGGCAAAAGGACTGCCACAAAAGGGCAGAACATTTAATCTCTGTTGTTAAATGATTTGCATTTTCCTATGAAATGAACGGATTGGTGAAATTGTGGATTTATTCCATTTTAAACTAGGAAGATTATTCTCAGTGCATAGGTATATGGTGGATACTGATTTCATAATGTCGGTGAACATGGAAATGTAAGTTCCAGTCGTGAAATCTTGGGATAAAATGATGATAACCCTCATGCGTGTCATTTGAATGCAGCTAATGTATTTCTGGCTTTTACCAGTTGTAGGTGTTTTGCTTACAGGTGGAAGGGTTAGGAAGCTAGGCTGTATACATGATACAAGTTGGCTTCTGATTATTCATGACACAGTTTGATGTAGGAGAGACAAAATAGTGAATGAGTGCTGATTAGGTATATAATGGTGCACACTGATGTTATGAAAACAAGCACCATTACAAATTTGCTAATAATATAAATTACATAAAACCAGTGTAATTAACATCATGTAAACACAATATAATAATAAAGCTATGTTTAAAAAAAAAAATTAAAAAATGTCACCTCTTTTAATCTTACTAAAAAGACAAGAGATGAATAAATATCAAATGCAGATAATGCTGGGTTGCCCTGAATTGCATTTAAATTTGTTAAGTAAATTAAGAAATACAAACTGTTGTGGTTGTATCCATGAACAAGTGAATTGAGTTTTCTGTTTAACTTGTAATCTTATGAATGTGATACAAGTTTTGTAGGTAAACTATTTTAGTAAAGTTTACCTTGGGTCAGTTGTAAGAATGCATATATAGAATCGGAACACAATAATTTTGAAGAAAGCTTTCTTCTTAATTTAATGAACTAATCAGTATCTACCTGTTATAGGGTCGTTGGGACCTATAGTCATATACCTAGTCACAGATAAAAGATATCCTGTAAGAAGGGTCGTCAAGGTCAATGTCAATTAATAGTCTCCTGGTTGTCCTTTGTATTAACAATTTACCGTTGATATTGTCTTGCAGTAGTAGAAGAGGAGGTGGAAGGAAAAAGAAGGTTCCAACGACGGGGCAACTAGAGAGTGATGATGAGGACACAGCAAAGCCAATGTCATATGATGAGAAGCGGCAGCTCAGTCTGGACATCAATAAGTTACCTGGTATGAAATATTGGTATCATATTGCAAAAGAAAATTCTATGAATCTTACAAGATTATTTCAGATTGTGTAGAGCTCATATTCACAAGAAGATGAACTCTTTTTGAACAGGGTCACATTGCAGATAATTATCCATTTATGCAGAATGTAAACATATTCTAGAGTTTCTGGTATAAAACAAGTAAAATAAAATGATGATAACCTCATGCGCTTCATTTGAATGCAGCTGATGTTTTCTGGCTTTTACCAGTTGTAGGTGTTTTGCTTACAGGTGGTAGGGTTAGAAAACTAGGCTGTATACATGATACATGATTGCTTCTGATTATTCATGACACAGTTTAATTTAAAATATGTATTTTTTTTCTATTTCACATTTTTTCCCTCCAAAATATCTTTTTCTTTTTTTAAATAAGAAATAGATGAGCAACTTATTTATATTTTTAGAGGTGAATTTAGATTAAAGACTTAATTTGTTATTTGATATTGTTGCTTTTGTTTGTTCAGGGGACAAACTTGGCAAAGTTGTACATATAATACAGTCAAGGGAGCCCTCACTCAAGGACTCTACACCAGATGAAATCGAGATTGACTTTGAGACCCTCAAACCGTCCACCCTGAGGGAACTGGAAAAATATGTCATGCAATGCCTCAGGAAAAGACCAAAAGGTAATTATTATATGCCACATGTACTTTCATCTCCCCTCTGCAGAACACTTTTATATTGCATGTTCTGTATATTGTACCATCTCCCCCCGAAACATTGTATGTATTTTGCCTACAACATGGCCAAAACCTGGACCCCGTTTCATAAAACTTTTTATAAATAGCAGATGCTAAATTTCTATGACAAGTTTGCTCTCAGCCAATCAAATGCCACAATTTCAGTAGGTTATAACAATCATTGAAACTTGTTATTGATAACAACCTTCATGAAACAGGGCCCAGTATTCTGTGATGATGTATTGTTGATAATGGTGTCAACAAACAATGGAAGTCCTTGCAAAAGCAATGGAAGTTTATTACACATTGAGCTGATTCTCTTTGCTATTTCATGGTAAAAGAGAAGTGTTAGACACTGATGTGTGCTGTTGAATATGATATTCTAGGTTCTAGTCATGAAATCTTGGGATAAAATGATGATAACCTCATGCGCTTCATTTGAATGCAGCTGATGTTTTCTGGCTTTTACCAGTTGTAGGTGTTTTGCTTACAGGTGGTAGGGTTAGAAAACTAGGCTGTATACATGATACATGATTGCATCTGATTATTCATGAAACAGATTAATTTAAAAGAGCCAAAATAACTACTGATTGATAGATTGTAATGCATTAAATAATAGATAAAATAATAAATTAATAGAATTATAAAGAAAGAAGCACAATTGTCACGATCCAGTGTTTTTCATATTACATAATTTAAAAGATAAAGGACGCTGATGCATTTAGTTCTTTTGTTGAGTGATTGTAAAAAACATTTTGATTCCTCTTGTCTTCTACAGCATACAACAAAGGCCAGACGAAGTCTAAGCAGGATGCACAGAAGGAGAAGCAGAAAGAACTGGAGGATCGACTGAAGGAACTTGGCGGGCCATTTCCCAAGAAGGCCACAAAGAAAGGTGAGCATTTATGCCCTTCAAGTGTGATTTGCACATTACTAGAAAAAATTAGCATTTTACATTTTATTTTCTTTATCTGCACAAGGACATTACAATATATGTTAGCTAATTAGTTATGTGATGTTGAGCCAATAGGAAAACTTCTCTTAGTCTCCAGAGAACCTGTGGGTTGTATTTTAAATAGTACTATGTTATGACAAAGATGCTATGTATTTGTTATGTATTTTTTTCGATTTAACATTTGTTTTTCCAAAATATCTTTTTCTTAAAAATTATTTAAAAAATAGAGCAACTTATTCATATTTTTAGAGGTGAAATTTAGATAAGACTTTATTTTTCATTTTATATTTTTGCTTGTGTTCAGAGGATAAACTTTGGATAAAATGATGATAACCCTCATGCGTGTCATTTGAACTCAGCTAATGTATTTCTGGCTTTTACCAGTTGTAGGTGTTTTGCTTACAGGTGGAAGGGTTAGAAAACTAGGCTGTATATATGATACATGATGGCATCTGATTACTCATGACAGTTTAATTTAAAATGTTTTTAACTGTATGTATTTTTATACCTCCTCTACAAAGTACCTCCCGTTCTCATGTTTGCAATATCTCAAGAACCACTTAATGGATTCTCGCCGTATCTTACAGAGCCAATGAACTGATTGGATATTGGGGTCAAGGTCACAGGGCTCATTATGTATACAAAAATAGCTCGTGATCGCAAAGTACATCCCGTTCTCGTATTTGCTTGGGTCATGTATGTATCTTGCAAAGCCAATGAACAGATTAGATTTTGGGGTCACAGGGCTCATTATTAATGCAAAATAACCCCAGAATGTGATTACTTGCTGGATTATCTTGTAACAGTGTTCTTCTCTATTTATTTGATGGTCATTTTATTTTCTGGTTGATTCATTTGCAGCTCAACAAGATGCTTTGATGAATGAGGGGGGCAGAACCGAGCGCCCACTCAGTGCCAGCAGTAGTAGTGACTCTGAGAGTGATGCAAGCAGCAGCACAAGTGCTAGCTCCAGCTCCGACAATAGCGAATCGGAGTCAGGTAGCTAGACCACACCCACTCTCTCTTTCCTTTCTTCCTCCTATTCTTCCTCTTACCTTCTATCTTCCTTGCAACTTTCCTTTGTACGGTTCACATCATTGTCATTTCCACCATTGCTACCAAACAGATATTGTTCTTTTGAAATAAGGGTTGTTGTGCTAGTGGCAGGCAGGGTAATGGGCTACATTGACCAAACTATTTAGGTGCATCCATGTGTATCCTCCTACTGATCATCTATAACAAACGAAGACAAAGATGTTTTGTTTTTATTTTGTGGCTTGGAACCCTTTGAAAACCAGCTGTTAGCTGACAAGGCCATTCCAACCGGAACCCACGAGTGGAGAATAAATCAATCAAATCATGTCAAACTTCTGGGTTGGCCAATATTTATCTTGATTTGGTTGATTCATTTGTACTTGATCTGGTCAGTTTGTTGACCTGATGGAATTGACTGGAGTTACATAGCCTCTCAATAATTGACCCCTTGCCTGCCACTGGGACAATGACCTGTATTGTATTATGTTTTCTAGATTCTTGTATAAACCATTACCAAGTTTCATGAAGAATCCACAGACCATTGCTTGATATCATCAAGTAATAATCATCGATAACGCTTTGTCAAAGAATCGTAGCGAGAAAGGAAAAAATGAAATTTCTAACATTTTCATCGAAACTCACCTCGTCATTCTTTTGGAAGTTAAAAACTCTTCAGTGATGACTTATACAAGCATATGCTATGTCAGAATTTCTTTTTTGTTTGAATTTATGTTAATTAATGATTTGAATTCCAATTTGCAGATATTTTACTGCAATGCAAATATAATATTATTTATTAACGATACCATGCAAACATGGGAAAGTTTGGATTCTTTCAATTTGACGCTTCTTCGAGAAAGCTTTATACCATGACTATAGTTGATATTTTACATCGCCTTGGCAGATGAAAACCCATTTTTTAATCTTGTTGAATAATGTGTCAAAGGGTTTGTGATCATATAGACAAAGAACAAGAAATATGGAGACATTTTGTAGAATCTGTGCAAGCCTTCCAGCAAAGAAATTTGCTGATTTTAATTGTCAATTTGTACAAATTTTTTATAGAAATCAATGCACATAATCTTTCTCTTGCTGTGTGGCAAATATGTACAAAGAAAAAAATCTCTAAATTATCGAATATGCTCCTTCCAAATTCATACAAATGAAGTAAACTTTGAAATAAAAATTAAAAAGTTTGGAAAGGATTCTTCTTCTCACCAAAAGAATAAGTCTTTTCTTAGAATGATAGCCGTGTTGAATATTGAGAAAGTCAAAAGAAAAGCAAAGCATTGTTTTTATTGTGTATTACTTATTCGTGACATGTATTGTAATGAAATGAAAAAGACATAAATAACTCATACACAATAGAGGCAGGCACATATGTGATAGATAGCTTGATATTGATATATTTTGTAATGACAAAGAGTATTTTGGTAAATGTGGCAACATTCACTACACTAAAAACTTAATTTAATCACATGCTTCACATGCCATTGCTTCATGGTAACACATGGAGGAAGTTTGACATTCGGATGGATGGAGAGATGGGCTGAGAGAGCCCTATACACTTAGGGCATGGCTGTCTACTAAGTGTCATGTGTGTTTTAGTGAAGAGGGTGGGTGGGTGGGTTGGGCAAATCTCTGGCAATCATCGGTCTTCGGGAGAAGAAAAAATCTTAACCCCCCTAAAAACACAGCTTACAAAATGTACTACCACAGCTGTACTCTTGAAGTAACAAACATGCAGTGCTACCTGAAAAGATTTTAAAAATTCAGAAAAAAAGTTCAGCTGCTTTCTCCATTCTATGTTAGAGTGTTGTGTGTCTGAGTGTGAATGTATGCGTGTGGGTATGTGTGTGTCAATGGATGGGAGATGAGTGTGTTAGGAGCTTGTCAGCAGTATGGCTTTTGAATGGCAGGCACATGCACAGGCATCATGACTGCGTTGGATCAGGCAGGGTCGGCTGTTACGGCAAGCACCTCGTTTGCTCGGGTGCATGCGTGGAGCTCTGGACCAGATGCTAACCAACCGTTAGGTCTGACAGCTGTTCTTGAATTGTTCCTCGCTAGATTGAAGAATGCGTTGTTATTTTAATGCAAGAATCATGTATTGAGTCTATGAATGGGGAAAAAACACTTCTGCCAATATTGGATTTTAATGCAGTACATCAATTAGAATATGCCATCTTTTATTTCTCCCCATATGGGGTACATACTGCCAGTTCAGTATACAGTGGGATTTACATTGCCTTAGAGAACTATGTTTATCATCAAGTCATGACCTGATAACTGATGGTGCTTCACTAAGACACACATGCACTCACTGAGCTGAGTCCTAAAGAATTTGCAGTTGGTTCACCAAATGCAAAGCAGCCAAACTTGTACTTTTGCCATTTTTTCCCCAAATACTCTTTGTCACTTTTTGTTCACATTTGTTGATAACACCCCCAAATTTGTTTCCACTTAGCTCATGACTGCTCAAAGAGTTGACATGTAATGACGGGTGGATGCACCACCAACGGTCTGTCGGTCGGTCTCTGCTGTAAATATTCTTTGTTTTTTGTTATTATAATAAAATAGAGACATGGTCTTTGGACCTGGTAGTGCATACATGTTGTTTTGCTAAAAATGCAATAGCCTCTTTTACAACTGATCTCTGTGATAATACTGGCTATGTAACTTCCCAAAGTATGAACCTGTTCACGAATTTAATCACTATTTTTTAAACGTATCGACTGTCCCGATTGTACATATAATCCTCTATTGCCTTTTTACTAGCCTATGATAAAAATGCTTTCTTACAAAAAATGAAAAACTATTCAACAAAAAAAAAATTGCTTTTTTTATTTTTGTTTTTGGTGGTGCTACCAATGTCGAGCATATGATTTGTAGTTTTTGTACGAAGCAGTAAAGTTGTGCCGTTTTCTGAATATATTCCTGTATGAGTTAGACATTACTGCATATTTTTTCCTTATTTGTTTTTTGTACATCCCTGTTAGGACATAAATGTATCTCTACATGGCATGGGTAAATTTAGTGTAAATGGCTGTGTATAGTGTAGATTTGTCTTGTGTTCATGACTCTTTAAGTAGCATTGATGGTAATCCATGCTTGTAAATACTGGAAGAAAAAGTGACAAAAACCAGATTTCATGGCAGTTTGTCTGAGAAAAATGGCCAAATAAAATCAAATACTTTCCATTGAAACATAAACTTGTTCCATTATTTGCTTGCTTGTGTTTTTATCTATTCATTCTTAAGTACTGCAATTAAAATCCAATGTTGGCAGAACTGTGTGGTTAACTTGATGGTTAACTTGATGGTAAAACTTGATGGTGAAACGGGGTACTATTATTATGATATCAGATGTGTGTAGTGATGGTGGTACAATGTAACAATATTGAAACTACGTTCACACATATTGTGACCTGCCCTTCAAAAAATTGCTTTGGCAAAAGAAAATAGGGACTTTTAGATATGCATGACAAAACACGTGGACTGCGACATCCCTTTAAGGCATTGGCAGTGACGTCACATTGCCTTAAAAGGATGTCACACGAGCAGTCCACGTTCTTGTCGTGCAAATCTAAAAGTCCCTAATAACATAAGTATGGTGTACTTCACTTGTCTGTTATAACACACAGACGAGTGTGCTTCGGGTCTTGTTGCGTGTTTTTTTTCTTTCTTTCTCTCTCTCTCTCTCTCTCTCTCTCTCCCTCTCTCTCTTTCTCTCTCTCCCTCTCACTCTCACTCTGTCACATCCACTTTCCATATGGTTTAAAATTTCACCCCCCCCCCCTTTTTTTTGTTTTTAATGCAGTACATCACATTATGTGCGAACGAGGCAATATTTGATGAAAAAAAATCATGCTTTTTAGAGACCTACAATTTATGTACATCTATAATAGAAGGATGTAACGAGTCAAAATTGTGAATGAAAGTATCATCCGTAATACATGATCCAGAGACACAAATTTGAAGAGGAACATCAACAAAGTTATAGGTGAGCGCTCTTCTAGAACATCATATACTAAAGGCTCGTTCAGATATGAAGTGGTAAGGCACAACCTTTGGTGCAACTGCTTGCAACAAAGGTCCTACATGTAAAAGTACTATGTCCCATTTGCAGCCAACATCAAATTCCGTAGAACTTTGCAGGAATTATGAAAATGTCATGTCCAATCTGTGAAATGTAATCGTATGCAGTGTCCTTGTATTCAAATTATGCAAGGAAACCCATTTACTTTCTAGACTTCACTGTCAGATACTATTGAGTGACTGACTGACTTCATTCTTTACTTGATAATAAAACACATAAAATGAGCTGTAAAGGGTACATGAGAATTTGTCTACATCAATAACTCACTTATTGTAATGGCCGAAATTAAATCAATTGGATATTTGTGCAGCACAAAATGTACAACCATTCAGTACAAGGGTCTGAAAATCAGACTATATACTTAAAGGATTGCAATCCCTAAAGTCAATTTGTCGACTAATGGTCGTTACTTTCCCACAAAAAGACATTTTCAAGCCCTTGTGTTTTGAGGGAAGTTCTAAATTAGTATTATCTTTCGAATGCCGGTGGAATTGAATCTTTTAATTTTGTTGGCCTGCCAATGGGACATAGTACCTTTAACTGAGGTCTTTGTTATCAGATATAGAAATGAGCCCCTACATCTTTTTTTTTGTTTAATGCAGCGCTTACCACGTCGTATCTGAATGAGTCTTTAGGAAGGGTGCTTGGAGTTCATTGGATTACATTTATTTACTACAAAAAAAGTGTTGAACAATGTTTTATTGTTGGAATTAACTTCATGTCCTTCAGAGAAAAAATAAGTGAAGAACATGGGGAAAATATATTGTCAGCGAAACCAAATTTGACATTGTCCATAAATAGATGAAGCCTGGGGCCCATTGCATAAACTTACCATTGATTGTATCTTTGTCATTAATGGCAACTACCATGGTAACAGGGCTCAACAGCCAATCAAAATCAAGGTTTCCATGGTAGTTACCATTGATGGCAAAGTTACCATCAATGGGTAGGTTTTGTGCAACTTGGCCCAGGGAAGTAGTGGTTCTTTCTTTATAAGGGAGAGGGGGGGGGGGGGGTAGATTGTATTTCTTCCTTTACATCTATTTCTCAATTTCTTGTCACCATTTTCTGCGACTTCCTTCAATTGCGACTTCCTTCAATTGTGGTTTAATGATCGATACAATTCCATTTTCAAGAAGGTAGCAAATTTGTGTGGATGTTGAGAACGTTGTTGGTAAAAGTGCATAAGTTGTGTTCTGTCTGTGATGTGAAAGTATATCTGTTGAATGAATTTGATGTGGAAAGAAGGTGTGTGTAATAAAAGTTGATGATATAATCCATCTTGGTGGCTGATCGTGTGAAGTAACCCAAATTCATTAGAAATGGATTTTTGTTAAATCCAAAAATTGCCTACATATATAATAAGGTGTGCAGATCTGTTTCTCAAATGGAATGGACATTTATTATAGTTCAAACAGTATTGCCACAATACATGTAGATAACATAGTTTTAATAACTTGTGACAACTGATTTAATTTCAATTGAAAGGTCCAACAATGTATTTCCTAGTACATTCTGGAGATTTATTTGAAGATATGCTTGTACCGGTATGTGCTTTGGATATTGAGTGTGATGATGATGGCTCAGATACATGATGTGGAAGTAGAGAATGGAGAAAGTCTAGCCTTGGACTGGTTTGCTTCTGCTTCAAGTACAGGTATCCATGTCCTACATCGAGACTTCTTATTTCCTCGCTGAAAGATTTTAAAAAAAGATACAAGATATATTAGCTCGGGTCAGGGTTAAATGCAGAAGGTTTTATCAAGAAAAGAAAATAGTCAAATGTGGGCCCCACATGTATCAAAATAATTCTAAACCTCATTAAATGAATCAAAGGACTGACAATCTAAATCAATGGATTACTTATCTTAAACAACCATGCAACACAAACAAAGCAAAGATAAAAGGATGAAAATCACTTTTACTCAACAGAGCTCAAATGTACTGTGATACAAACAAAATAGTTATTTAAATGAAATTCATAGTAATCTGCGAACATGATGCAACATAAAGGAACACGCCTAATACCGGTATGTGTTAATTATTAAGCAAAGTTGTGAGGAATATTAATTCCCTTAAAAATTTGACAAAATCTGAAGAAATTGATGCAGAGATCGTATTTTAAAATAGGTATGAGAGAATGTTGTCACAATAACCCATTTCTAAAAAATCAACACCCACCCATCTGTTGAGGAACATTGGAATGACATTAACCTTGTACATGAATCATTTATTCAACTAAACAATGCCGGAAGTAAGAGAGAACAGTTGGTTTTGTTGTGCTGTTATTGTTGGTGACATGTTGTGATTGATTTTTTACACGGATGTCTCCAGCTATCCTGCTCTGCCGTCTGCTTGTCACAGATCTATAATTGAATTACAGAATACTGGCTCCTCACTTCTCGTTTGTCTCCATTCTATTATTCCAGATGCTTCTGCGCCATGAGCCATTGAAAAAAAGATCACAGTCTGTTTTTTAGGGTTGCTTATTAAAGACCATATCCGAACTGAAAAATGAAATGGATGAATTATATATCAACGGAAAGCTTATAAGCTATAGATTACAATAATATTAATTACATGACATTTTAGTGTCTGTCAGAGGAGTATTGATGACGACATCTCATGTGGAGTACGCATATTCACAATGACTTTGCATTAATTAAGCTCGGCTATATACATGTAGGTAAACTGATCTGGTCCCCATATGTCGTCACTGTAACCTTGGCAAATTAGACCCCTGTTGACCCGTAATTTGGAGGGGTGCAGAAAATGAGGTTTTAATTTGCTTTTTTGCAATAATGAAAGGGTAAATAATTTTTATTCCTTTATATTTGTATTCTACATTCATTCAGTTTTCCATTTATACCAGGTTGTATTTTCATCGGATATGGTCTTTAAAGAGAAGTTGAGTTCTGGAAAGAGGTGAAAATATTTTGCGAGCGTTATCATTATTATTATGCAAGTGTGGAAGAACATAACATTAAAAATGTTCCCTGAAAAGCATGGCTCTTAATATTCTAAATATGGCATGTAACAGCATAAAAATCGGGATGGATTTTACGCCACATGTTCATGTAGTCCCATATACTTATTCCTGTGTACAGTGCTTGTTACTTTACCAAGACTGGGTCAAATTTGTTATCATTTTGATGATTCCAGAACCTTGTAGAGTACACACCAATACTTATATGCTAGATGATCAACCTTTTCTGATCGATTCCACACCGTTTCTTTCACAATGCAATCGCATGACCAGGGCCCCATCTTACAAAGAGTTGATATCAATCGCAAGTATGTACATAAGAGATGGGAGACTGCAAACTTGCGATTAATTGGAGGACTTACGATCGATTCGATTCAGATCAATCGCAACTCTTTGTAAGACGGGGCACAGGACTCAATTTTCTCTTTAAGCTTATGGCAATACATCTTGGATTGATATCAAGACATTTAACGATGGCAAAACACGAAACATTGAGGACAATCCTTTGGAAGGAATTCAGCATAACTTAATAAGTAAAGCTGGAACTTCTCAGGAATAGAGAAGGCTTTTTGAGTACGTGCCCTGGCAGAATGGATAATAAATTAACTTCAACCAGGGCTAGATCTTCAGATTTCTAATGTATTAGCACAATACACAATAAAATATAACAAATAAATGGATAAATACACAAATCGGTAGTTTGGCGATTAAAATGTAAAACAGAATATTCATAAAATCCATTTTGGTTGTGGACATTTCATTGAGATGTTTTATCTGAAAGAGGTAAATATTATTTTAAAAGTTTAAATGAATTGTTGCATCAAATAATTAAGTGGAACCAGTCGATGATTTACCCCTTAGAACACAGGAAAAAATACACAGGGGCTCGGGCGAATTAGCCCCCGAAATGCCCAAAAGAGCCCCCGAAAGTCATAAAAGAGCCCCCAAATTTTGCGTAGAGTTCAATGCAAAAGAAATTAAAGAGTGTTATTTTCATGTGAACTACCTTGAAAAGTAGCCTCCAAAAAATTTTAATTAATTTTTTTTCCTGCCTTAAAAGGCTCTTAAAAAGCAATGGAACAACTATAAAATACACAAACAAAAGATTGTGAGGTATTCTCATATCCTATAGTAAACCCTATAGAGCTCCCATGCACTAAATCATTATCTCTTTTTACATGATTGAGTCGCATAGATTCAAGATGAACAGCGTCAACAGTATTCATTATAAAATCTCCTTACTCTTTGTATTGATTTTGCAGTTGTGGCAAACATTATAAACCTATAACTCTTAAAGGGACTGACATAAAGGAACAATGTTAAATCTGTGATACACGGTCGTACGCGTTATCAGTGTCTGTGATATGGTGTAATATATAAGCCCTAAAAAAATTGCGCTTCAAAATGATCAAGAAGTGCCTCAAAAAAGTAAAAATCTTTGAATGACCGGTTTTACCATTCTCTTTTCCCCCAATAGACTGTAGTGTAATGAAAACCGTCAGGGGAACGGTTTTCAAAATTTGTCATTCCAATCATAAATATCTTGATAATCAGGCAAGTGATCGGCTTGTAAAAGTCATGGGGTTCCTGACTGACCTAAAGGTTTATAATTATCATTGCATCATGAGCTAAATCCAGAATTTTGTTTCAGAATCTGAGACAAAGTTACCGGATCCCTTTAAGATCTCATATTTCATGAAATTCTTAAAAATGGAGTTCATACAAAAAATTCTTGGATGACTTTGTCCCAATGCTTAAGGGTACATTTCTCAAATGAAAGCAATAAAATTAGTTGCTACTTTTTTATCAAGAAAAGAACCATGTAGGAGGATGAAGAGGGGGGGGGGGGGGGGGGTGGCAATCTTAATGCAGGAAAGACATCTGGTATAGTATGAACATAGTACTTAATTCAATTACTCTGGTAAAGGTTGCTACATCCGTCAACAAAAATTATTTCCTCCAAGTGGAATTATAATCAGTTTCTGTTTGGTTTGTATAAACGTTTTGAAAAATAGGAATTCAAAATTAATTTTCAGAGAAATTATTGTTGTGGGGTGTTACATTTGCATGAGTCCAAGTCAAATTTTACTTGTTGAATCGATACAGGAAGTGGGTAAGGCATAGACAAAAAATCCCAATCAGAGATAAGTCATATTAATGGAATTCATCCAGGATCCAGATGATTTTAGATGATTCAACTTCACATGTTATAAATCCTGTTTGTGCTAAACCCATTATATACCTTCATCTTGCACGTAATTGAAGCAAATCATAGAATATGATGAAATAAAGTTAATACATTTGTGAGTGACCTTGATTCTGTAGGATGTTTGTTTTCTTCTTTGTCTAAGAAGAGGTATGATGTTACTTTTGTAGAAATTTTGTAAGTCATTCACAGTGTTGATGAAGAACACATTTTGAACCCCCCCCCCCCCCAAAAAAAAAACCCAAAACACACACAGCGACAACAACAAACTAAAACAAACAAATAATGCAGTGAAATTGAAATTCCATTATTCATTATTCAAGTTTTAACATGAAGTTGAACCCATTGATGGTTTTAAGACAATGCCTTCCATCAGAATACATCCCACATGAGGACTTTTGAATTGAATTGATACACACATGTATACATCTACACATATCATCTGGAATAAAGATAATTGTTTGAAAGAACACTACAAGCCAGTAGCATCCTACGTCCTGCCCAAATGCTGACGGTAATTCTTTGTTCTGACAGGTACTCCAAAAAAGATGAAGAAAGGAATAAAGGTACCTCCTCTTCCTGCAAATCGACAAGAAATGGTAAGTAATCTCTTTATCTCTAAACATATCATCCTCTAGTAGCTCTATGTCCTTGCTGTAGTCATTTTTACCCATTTATCAAATCTAATTGAGTGAACAAAATGATAATTCATATTTATTTTGCAGGAAACGTTTCTTCTATTGCCAACATTGCACTACAAATTATGTCAAGTACACCAAAGTGTTTTTTGTTGTTGAGGAATTTAAGTGATAAAACAGACTCTGCTGAGTAATGATCACATATTAATAATGTGCATTTAGTTATGATAACCCTTAACCCTTAGTGTGTAAAGAACACCTGTTTTTAGATTCCTGATGCTGTAATTTTAAAATTTGAATGCCACCTGTTGTATATTGAGTGGACTCAAAAGTGCTTTACCTTCTAAATTGATTAACCAAATCATGATATTGAACACAAAATTGTTCAATGTGTTTCAGTCGTCATGAATTTGACAGAATGCCAATTAGGTTCATTATAATTAAAATGTAGACAACAGAAAAATTAATCAACTTTAAATCTGTCCAAATGATGTATCAAGATTTTTCATTTTAATGCTCCTAATTTGTTTCTCTGTTAATTGTAAGTTTCTTGGAAATGTTTGTTAGTTAACAATTGCAATGAATGAAATTTGAATAAAAAGATTTGTCGTTTTATAGATACTGTACATTAATTCATAAGTGTAACTACATTGTCTACGATTTTCAAGCATTGAGCTTTTTTACCTTTGACCCTCTGTAGCAGAGAAGACTATCCGGTCCTGGACAGGCTCCAATCACTACACCAGCCGGCTTCCATCCAGAAACCCAACAGCAGCAACCCATGAGTACAGGACCAGGTCCTAGTCCATTCTCACTGGGTCCACAGGCCACTGGTCACCCCTCTGGGCATCCCTCGGGTCAACCTGTTCAACATCCAGGACAACCTTCACCAAGACTGACCAATGGACAAAACCATATACCAGGTAATGATGGGCATCTTGTTGCTGTACTGTGGGTGTTTGAAGGACTTAATTTAGAGCAAGGGTCCTGGGGAGTGTTTCATAACGATTAAGATTGACTTAAAGTTGGACTTAACTATGGCAGGCTATTCATGCCACTGTATGCTCTCACCATTTACTGGTATTTGTCTCTCACAGGACGTACAAATCATGGTCACAAATCTACAGAATTCACATTTTTGATAATTCATTATTGAAGGAAAAAATATCTAAAGATCAAATTGGTGAATGCAAACAGTGGCATGAATGGCCTGCCATAATTAAGTCCAACTTAAAGTCGATCTTAGTCTTTGCGAAACACTCCCTAGGTCTGAGTTTCAGCATAATGTTTACCCAGATTCATGTTGCCAGTTTGGCCTGTATTCATATAAAATTAAAACCCGATACTGGGTTTAGACTTTTGTTCTAAATCTTGTTTAACAAAGTAAATTTGTGAATTTAAAACAAAAATGTTTGGTTGTTGTATTTCAGGGTCTCCATGTAAGGTGTCATTTTGTTAAACATGATATTGGATCCAATGTTGGGTTTGGCTGAATTAGTAGAATACGGACCTTTGTCTTTAGATGGGTTTGTTAGATGAGCTTTCAGTTGAATTTTTTGTTTGAGTAAAACAATAACTTTCCCTTTATTGTATTACACCTATTTGATAAGACTAAAGTTATGCACATACTTCAACACTCAACAGCAAGTATTTGTTTGTAAGCTCGCTCCAAGGGATGGCATGAAATCCGTGGCTTGTTCATTCAGAATCGACGCCTTACCCAAGGACATTAAAGCCCCACTGTACTACTTATAGTTACTTGCACCTTCTATATAGCAAACAATGCCTAATCTGTGCCTGTTGTTCCTCCATGATCCTCTTTTTCTGATGTTAATTGAGAGCTGATTTGATGAGATAAACACCTGTCAGTGACCTTGCAGGGAGGTCTAATCCCCCTGGCCAAACTAGTGTAGACGGTCTTTAAAGTATTGATTAGTCCGGGATCAGGGTCATGTTATTCCAGGATCATTCCTCAAATATTCATCACGTTGCAAACATTTTTGAATTGTTTCCTTCTGTATAGCACCAAGACACAGTAGCTTGCCAGCCTTACCAGACCGACCAAGCAACAAAGCAGCTCCACTTCAGAAGAGAAGTCAAAGGAAAGTTCTGACATCGCCACTCACGTCTCCGGGTCCACTCACATCACCAGCTAATACACGGGGCAGTACTACTACTGGTGAGTCAACACAGCTGATTTGCCTCGAGAATATGAAAATATATAGACAACTTCATGTGGCAGCAGTAGGCTGAAAACTAATTTTCTAGAATATATTTTGTATAAAATGTAGGGTTTAGAGCTTGGGTAGCAATTAGATTCAGGTTGGGCTTAGGTTTAAGATTTTTGTAGCATTTGGCCAACAGTTAAAAGTAGAGAACCCAATTTACTATGAAAATTTGACTGCGTTCTCTGGAAAACACACATGGTACACTCATCCAGGAGTGTGGAAAAACGTTTTTTTTTAAAACAATGTCAAAGAAGTTGTATTTAGATAAATAATACGGCTGATATGAAAATATGAAATACATCTGTTAGCTTGGAAAACACCCGTTTTTGTATATAATAGTAATATGAAGAGATCTATGAACATACACATATTTTCTCTTTTCCAGCTTTCCCTTTGCCATCACCAACTCTTCCACAAACCAAGCCAGCAGTGGTTGCCCCTCCTCAATTACAGCCACCTGCTGTTTCCAAAGCCCCACCAGCAACCCCTCCTGCAATGGCTCCTTCAGCACCAGTGGCACCTCAACCTGCACCAGTAGCTATCCCTAAACCCAAACCAGAACCAGTGGTGAAGCCATCCAAACCTGCTCCTAGTCAAACACCACCTGCAGCTGTACCCCCTCCATCATCAACCAAACCCTTGCCACAACACCCACCACCGCAGCAACACCCTTCACGCCACTCCCCGCAACCACTACCACAACAACAAGCAACGTCTAAGCCTCAATCCAAGCCACCACCTCCAACCGATATCCCCAAACCCCAGCCTCCTGCTGCTCAGAGACCAATACCAGCAGACACCAAGAAGACAGCACCACCTCGCTCGGTGACACCACCGTCTCCGCCACCACAGGTCAAACCAGAGGTCCCGTCTCTCATCCAGCAACCAACCCTCATCCCCAAGGTGGAGGATAACCCAATGTCATTCATGGTTGGTGATGAGGATTTAGAAGGGGAAGGGGAATCACCTTCTACTAGTCCTGTCATGACTGGTCACAAGACAGAAGAGAGCAATGGTAAATCAAGTGAGATTATTATTGTATCAGAGCCCCTTGTATCAGATGGTCATGATGATGTCAAACACAATACTCAGTGACAATCTCTATCAGACTTGAAGGGAGACCCCCCTCATTGTATAAAAGAGAATTGTAATTGTTCTATTCTTGTAGTGTACATGATCACATGGGTCATTTATAAACTGGATTTGTGTTAACCATATTGTTAGGCATATTCTAGTATATTTTCTACAGAAACATCAGGAGACCGATTTTATAGTGATAGTTATCATTACCAACATCTTTGCTATGGGATTGACCCTTCAAACAATATTTTCCTTGTACCCTTTCACATTAGACTTAAATGGTGTGTGCTTATCTTGTGTTAAGTTTTTGTAAAGCCACCCTGTCCTACTTCTAGCTACTTGCTCCCTCTATATAGAAAACAATGCCTAATCGGTGACCATTGGTCCCATGATCCTCTTTTTCTTATGTTAATTGAGAGCTGAGTTGATGAGATCACCGACTGCCTAGTGACCTTGCAGGGGGTCTAATCCCTCCTATAAACTATAGATAAGACAAGCCTTAATAGATTTTGTTCTGCAGACCAATCCGATGAACGATAGTTCCTTGAGAATTCTGTTGTTCCTTTCATCTGTTGAGAAGGGCATCAACTCAATCTGTGTTTTATTCTTGATCTCCCACAGGTTCATCACACCCTGAGGGTGGTATGCCTTCCAGTGCTAGCTCTGAGAATCTATCTAAGATGGAACAGAAAGCTAGCTCTAAAGATAAGAAGGTAAGCATCCTCGTACTTAAAGGCATCGTTTAACAAGGTTAAATCTGAGATGCACGGCCCTATGTGTTATCAGTGTTTGCAATATGGTGTAAAATTGAAGCCCTAAAAAAATTGCACTTCAAAATGATCAAGAAGTGCCTCAAAAAAGTAAAAATCTTTGAGTGACCGGTTTTACCATACTCGTTTTCCCAAATAGACTATAGTGTTAGGAAAACGCAAAATATGGTTTCGATTTCCAATCATAAATATCTTGATAATCAGACAGGCGATCGGCTTGTAAAAGTCATGGGATTCATGTATGACCTAAAGGTTTATAATTATCATTGTAGCATGAGCTAAATCAAGGACTTCGTTTTAGAATCTGAGACAAAGTTACTGGATCCCTTTAATGTGCTTCATCTGAGGCTTGAACTATCACAGAATTATTGCTTACACAGGATAAGGTCTAGGCTTGTCCGGTTCAATGTTTCCAGACTACCTATTAGAAACCTTCTCACAATTCTTGGCCACCTTGTACATGCACTCGCCTCGGTTAGCCAGGAATAAGTGTTAGCGGATCCTTCATGTAAATCCTACTTCAACCACTTCAATAATAAGTTTAATAGATACCATCAACCATGGTTGCTGGCTGGCCTTGTAAACCATTTTCATATTTTATCTAACTTTGTGTCTTAAGTTTTTCATAATTTAGGTAAAAATGAAGCCTCTCTTTAGTTAGTGTGATTGCTTTACTACCTGCTAATGTGTAATGTATAATAAATGTGAGTGGCAATTTGGAGTACAATTTCTATTATTTGATATCAGCATGGTATCTGGTGTTTCTTGGGGGGGGGGGGGGACACCCTGAATTGTCTAAAGTGGGAAGAACATAATCCATCATGTTTGAATGCTTTGCATGTTTCTGTGTAATCATCCAACTTAATTGAATGCTTCTGTGTAATCATCCAACTTGATTGCATGTTTCCGTGTAATCATCCAATTTGGTTGAATGTTTCTGTGTAATCATCCAACTTGATTGCATGTTTCCGTGTAATCATCCAACTTATTGAATTTTTCTGTGTAATCATCCAATTTGATTGAATGTTTCTGTGTAATCATCCAACTTGATTGCATGTTTCCGTGTAATCATCCAACTTATTGAATTTTTCTGTGTAATCATCCAACTTGATTGCATGTTTCTGTGTAATCATCCAACTTGATTGAATGTTTCTGTGTAATCATCCAACTTGATTGAATGTTTCTGTGTGCTCATCCAACTTGATTGAATGTTTCAGTGTAATCATCCAACTTGATTGAATGTTTCTGTGTAATCATCCAACTTGATTGAACGTTTCTGTGTAATCATCCAACTTGATTGAATGTTTCTGTGTAATCATCCAACTTCATTGAATGGTTGTGTGTAATCATCCAACTTGATTGAATGGTTGTGTGTAATCATCCAACTTGATTGAATGGTTGTGTGTAATCATCCAACTTGAATGTCTGTCTTGCAGGACATGAAGCTACCAAACCGTTATTCATGGTCTAACCTAGCCAACACACCGTCTTCAACCAAGCCTTCCAGTAAACCTACCAAGACCTCTCATCACAGCTTTGAACTCTTCAAGAAAGCAGCCAAGGAAAAAGAAGAGAGGGTAAGAATGTTTATTATGCACAGCAGGGCAATCCCACATTACTGATACCTTCTTCTGTGTTGTACCTTGAACCTTAAAGGTGAAGTCCACCTTGATATTAATTTGATAGAAGCAGAAACATGAGAGGAACAGTTCATTGAAAGTTTGAGCAAATTCCAATTAAAAATAAGAAAGTTCAGAATTTTTAAAGTCGCAATCAATCAAACGCAAATTGACAACACTGACGTATCTTGCAAGGTCCCCTCCCATTTTGCCCTGTACTAATGAATTCAAAGGATTATAGTTATCCCTAAAGAAATATCAATAATACATTTACCCCCAAATGTAGCTATTGCAAATATCTTTTTATACAACTCCTGTTAAAAAAATAAAAAAATTTAAAATCGATTTCGTCATCAAGAACTAGGAATTTTTTTTTTAAAGAGGTCTGTCTTGTCGCAATGCATAATTGAGCAAGTTCAAGCTATTTTGTCTAATACTTTAACACATTTCCCATTTTAGTTCTGTATATCTGATCATTTCATCATGTTGATAGCTCTACTAGAGCTTAGATCAGACCAAATATGATGTTAAATGATACAATTTGAAGTCAAATTTATGTGTAACTCCACAATACTTGGTAATACTTTGTAATATATTGGACACACATATTACCTTGGACTTGCATAATTCACTTTGTAACAACATAAATTCCAATTCTCGCTACCCTAAATAGGTACGAAAATCTCGAAATTCGCGAGACGAGGTAATTTTCACTCTCTCGGGTCGTCACTACAACTTCCGGTATAGAGTCCCATCCCGCTGGCGCTAGCGCCTGTGTTCGCTGTGCAGAGTTTTCACGCACGCTAAAATCGATGCCAATCAGTGTAATTTGTACAGATTATAATATGCAATGGAAAGCTTCGGGCAGAATTAGTGACTTTAGCACAAAAGGCCGTTAAACTCTACCGTGAAAGAGAGGGTTGTGATCACGAACGCCTGCACAGGAAGCTGTAATGTCGAAAAGCTATCCCATAATGCAATGCGCGTTTTCAGGATTTTCCCCGGATCTCGGCAGAATCGCTATTTGGGGTAGCGAGAATTGCATGTACAGTGGAACCTTTCTATAAAGACCACTCAATGGAGACAAGAAAAGTGGTATTTATGTACAGGTTCCTTTTATAGTACATGTCTCAATGAGAAACCATATTCAAGGGAAACAAAAATTGTGGTCTTTGTAGACAGGTGGTCTTTCTATAGAGGTGGTCACCAAAGCAGGTTTGACTGTACTTATATTTGATTTGCATTGATTGTTTTTTTTCCAGACCCGTCAGATCAAACAGCAAGAGGAGATGAGAAAACAACAGAAACACCTTCAGGAACAGGAAAGAGCAAGGCAGGAAAGAGAAAGACAAAGGTATGTAGGACTTCCATCACAATAGGCCTATCGTCATCAGACCAAAGTTGCAAAATAATCCACTATTTTCAGACTCTGGATGTTTCCCCGAAGCTCGAAGTTGCATCCTCACCAGACTGATACGCTCATCAGCAAATTAGCTCGCTTTTTGGGAAACAAGACCAAGATTTCTCAGGATATTTTCTTGGCCAAATAGCGGGTTATTTTGAACATTCGGTCTGATGAAGACGGGCCTCATGCTGCAGCTAATCACTTGTCTCCTACTGATCTTTTTGTCTGTCTCTCTATACACCTCTCTCTCTCTCTCTCTTTTCTCTTTCTCTCTCTCTCTCTCTCTCTCTCTCTCTCTCTTGCGTGCACTCTTGCTTCCTTTCTAGGTTCCTTTATCCCTTCTTGTCTTGATTTTCATTGTCTTTGCTCATTTGTGCGCCTCCGCACGTCTCGTCCAAGTGGTCTTACCCCCAACACTCCCTCTTGCAGATGTTTGTTGAGGTGAACCACAGATACAATGTAGCAGGCTTGGTGGAGCCAAAAGTTAATTAACTACACTAGCATCAACATGTCTCTTTAACAAAGTATGAAAAGTACTTTCACCCCAGTAATTGAGGGGGGAGGGAGGGGGGAGTTGCCAGTTTCTGCTGTATACAAATTGTGAAAATGTTGTATATAGTATGCAAAGATGTATGGAGATACAAGAAATTATACCCCAAAATTTGTTTTATAACATTATCAATTACTTAATCAAAGGTGATGATAATAACACCATTTAATTGCTTATCTCTACTTTATCTGAATGTTTGGCAACAATTTCTTTAACCTTTAGCATGATAGAGTTTCCCAAATTACATGGAATGAATCAGCCCTTGTCATATTTCTTCATTCTGTAGAGGGGATAGGATTATATGCACAATATAGTCCAAAGATAGTTTACGTGAAAATCTTTTTTAGTGCTTGAAGTTGTACTTTAATCATGCTTTTTTTTTCTGCAAGGAGTGTAACAGTACACATTTCTTGGTTATATAGTGTTCTTCTCATACATTCTTTGTCTATCTTTCTGTCTTTCTCTCTATTGCGTGCATTCTTGCTTCCCTTCTATGCTCTTTTATTCCTTCTTGTCTTGGTTTTCATTGTCATTACACCGACTTCTCATTTCTGTCTGTTTTCACACTCGTCTTGATTCTTTACAGGGAGAAGGAAGAGGACGATGCACTGGAGAGGGCTAGAAACTCCCAACAAGAAGAGGCCAAGAGAACGCAGTCTATGAAGGAAAGAGAGAGGCTACGGGAACAAGAGAGAAGGAAAAGAGAAGCTGTAAGTTTCTTTTTATGATCCATTCTTTATCAGGATTTATTTTGATGGATTTCCAAATACAAAATGGCTGAGGAAGTTGTCTAAAGACTGAAAATTTAATGTTTTTGAACAAGTTATTAGCAACGTAATTGTACACAAACTTGTGCAATATGCAGATGAAGGTACATATATGGGGATGATGCGGGAAACGTAAAATGCACCTAATCAGATTTTGGCAAATTCGGTTTCAAAAGTGGTACAAGGAGTGGTCATGAAAAGTCTGCCACTTATACTACTACTAATGATATTCGGTTCTTGTACAGCGCACATCACATGTTAACGTCTCTAGGCGCTTCCAAATTTGGAAATTATTACCCCGACTTTACCCTAGCTGCCATTACGGCGCTCTAGCATTTCAAGGAATCAATGCCTGCCAGGTACCCATTTACCTCACCTGGGTTGAGTGTGGCAAATGTAGATAAATGTCTTGCCAAAGGACATTGGTGCCGTGGCGGTGACATATCCACTCCACCACAACACCTTATGCAGCAGTCTCAAGGCAGATGCATGTTTAGTTATTGTGGGAGTTTATTTTGATTGAGATTTTTATTCTCTTTTCACCAGATGGCTAATCACATAGATATGAATCAACAGAGCAACATCATGGCAACATTTGAAGAAACGTTGTAGCAGCATCACTTGTGACTAAAGAGCAACATTGTGGCAACATTTGGAGAAATGTAGAAGTATCACTCGTGTCTCCAGAGCAGCATCTTGGCAACATTTGAAGAAACATTGTAGCAGCATCACTTGTGACTAAAGAGCAACATTGTGGCAACATTTGGAGAAACGTAGAAGTATCACTCGTGTCTCCAGAGCAACATAGTGGCAACATTTTTAGAAACGCTGTAGCAGTATCACTTGTGACTGACACGAGAGCAACATTTGAAGAAAAATGTAGCAACATCTTAGCACAACTTGTGACATGAGAGCAACATCATGGCAATGTTTGAAGAAACATTGAAGCAACATCTGAGCACAACTGGTGACTTGAGACCAACATCACTCGTGACATGAAAGCAGCGTCATGGCATCGATTGAAGAAACTATGTAGCAGCATCTTGGCACAGCTTGTGACTTGAGAGCAATCTTTTTGAGACCAGCAACTCTGTTCAAACTTTCAAATACATCAGATCTCTGTAGCCCAGCTGGACCATGCTATGGGGTTAAGATGCAGCGGTGTTGTTGCAATGAAGTCTGAACATTATCATAAATTGCTGCACATCATACATTCGCAATCAGTAGATAATACTTGTTCGTTGTTTGTTTAGCTGGTATGTATTTAGACTGTCGTGTACATCAGGAGTGCTGACACCAGCATTATTTGTTGCATCACTTGGTATGAATTGAGTTCCTTTTTATTTGTGTATATTGTATTTGGTGTAGAAGATAAGGATTTTAGTGGAGATACCATGACATAGAGGATGTATGTGTTTACATGATGTCATTATCAGCAGCAGCCAAGAAGTTTAACAATCACTCAAACTGTGATCGGATAGCTATGGGAGTACAGCCCCATGTTGAAATTCCATTTTTGTGAGTCCAGTTTAAGAATTTAAAAGACCAGAAAAAAGAGGATATAACACCTACCATTAAAGAGATCTGTTTTTTAAAACAAGGCAACGTAAAGCAGAGAAAATGGAATTGTTTTAAAGAATTTGACTACTTATTGCAATGATATTCTGTCTAGCCATGCTACAGGTCTGATTCATTATGCAGGAACAACAACATTTTTTATCTGACAAACGACAGCAAATAGCAAGTGTTTTATACCCACTGAGCTAGTGCCAAATGGGTTCTTTTTTTATGATGCTTGTCCGTAACACCACTTGAATACTAACTTATGAATCTGTTTAAAATCGACCCACATGTTATAGAACCACACATCATCAAGGTTTACTGGCTCTCTGACCACTGGTCTTGACAAACCTCATCATCATCATCATCCTCTTTCAAAAAGTATTGCTTCTCTTTTAAAAGGTTGCAAAATATTAGTTTAGTGGCCATGGACCAACCCATACGGATCTGACGCATAATTGTTGATAACAGATGAACTTTACTAAAATCATGTTTGTAATATTGTCTTGATTTGTCTGTGTGTATTAATGTTCAGGAGGTATATGTATATGTGTAATAGATAAGATGCGAGGTTGAAGGGTAGTCATATGCTCTTGAACCATTGATAGCCTAGCGATGATTCACAGAAGATAGAGAGAGATAGAAGAAAGAAACTTGGTGCCTCTAGATGTTATACCCTGAATAGCCATGTATGTATCAGCTTGATAGTGATTAGATGTCTTGTATAGACAGTGGAATATTTTATTAAGATGAGTCGCCAGGGAGTAAAATATTTGTTTGATATTTATAGTGTTGTGTGGAACGGGTGGAAGAATATGGCTGTAATGCCTCGAGAATTGTACAGAATTTTGTTATAAACTTCCAAATTGTGTTTCCACTTTCCGTGTTATAAATATATATAATATATAACAGTTTCTTGTCGACAGAGAAACTTGTGTATATACTTCTAAAGAATTTTGAAAATTGTTGTACTGAATTGATTTTTTTTTTAGTAGCTTTTGCACAGATTATTTGTGTTTTCATTTCATTATTCTCTTGAAGGTGTAACTTTGATTTGTTAAAGAGAGGATTAAATCGGCTACTCTTATGTACTTGTAATATAGATATGCCATTTGTTGCTACCAATTGTTAAAAAACTCTTTGTACATGAATTTCTTTTGGGTTTTTGGAGTAATTGCAATTTTTTTCATGAGCTCAAGAATATTCTCCTGGAGAAAAGATGTTTTTGTTCTCATAGTATAATGCTATTGTTTTTGTGTCTAACTTCTCTATCTTATTTAATCTGTCTTAATTTGAAAAACAGAGAGTTTTCAAAGTTATAATTCTAATCATATGTGGCAAAGGGAAATTGATTTTTTGCTATTGATACACAAACTCTCGTAAAAACTAATGACATACGCCTGTATAATCTATGCAATGCATCCGTATCCATGTTCCCCCTTAGAAGGTTTTGAAACCAGAAATGTGTCCTTCTAAATATGATCATCTTACAGTCTATTAGAAGGTTCACACATGTCTGGCTTTCAATTACTGGTAAGCTTTTACCCTCTTAGATATACTTTGTCATACGCACCTTGTAATACCTGTGCAAGATTGATATATGTATATATGACTTTTCATTGCATACATGTAGTCTTTGCATTTTGAATGAGATGTGGCAAACATTTTGAACAGTACAACCGCTTAGTAGTATTGTCTTGTTCCTCACATAGATTTTAATCATGAAAAGAGCCTTAGTCATATTTCTGCCAGTCGGCTTGAAAGGACGAGAAGTAGCGTTGATCCGTAGGAACAGAAATGTAGGAATTAGATCGCGAGAGACCAATTATTTCATGCTTGTTTTCTCTTATTTTTAATGATGTTGAAAATATTGGGAAAAGTTTGTATTCTTAGTGTTGATATCAACCATACCCCAAGAAAACTGTGTGTGTATTTAAAAGATATTTGTGTGGCATAACTACCTTGCTGTAATGTGCTTATGTATTTATGATAGCTCTTGTAGTGTATGCTGTCCAATAACATGTTTAAAGAGTTCGCAAGAGTAGCATGTTTTTAAAACATTGTAAACATTGTTTTTCCAATCTAGTATTATAACTTCAATAACATTTTTTTGCTTCTCATAAGATAACATCAGCATTTCTTCTTATCCATTTTTGCAATCAATTAGTCAATGTAGTCTTTCTTGAAACACCATTATTTCAATTATTTGGGTTTATCAGATGCAAACATTGAAGATATTACTTTAGAAAAAAGTCAGCTATTGATAAATGATTATGTATTATATTAATGGTTTGGACATTATAATCTGAATTGTTTTTGTGTATATACTTTACAAATTGTATATACAAATAGAGTGTACATAATTACTTAGTCAGCTTTATGTGACAGTAATTACGTACAACAGATCTACAAAATGTATTTAACAACAAAATGGCAAGTTTTATAGGCTTTTTCAAATCCTTTGTGTCTCTTTGTAATTGATATTTTTTTCTCGATTCAAATTTTTGTTGTTCTGATGTTGGACCAATGTTGAAAGGTTACACACTTGAAATCAGCAAGTTTTATAGATATCACTCATTAAAAAACCATCAAGGAATTTACTTTTATTTCATATAACCCCCAAACCATGCCTGATGTTAAACCAGTGCATTTTTTTTTTTTTTTCAGTCACTAGCTTGCATTATTACACTGTACTAAGCCTATCGGTATGAAATGGATTCAACATAGATTCAAAGTCCTTAAGTATCAGTTTGCTCATCCCTTTATACACATAATCCAGTCTTGTTTTCAATTGTAGCATGGATGACAGTATAGCAAGCTGACATGTGTAATTGTGTATCAATGAACAAATAGTCCACTAAATCATACTGGACAACTGTTCTTGACAAATTTATAATTTGTTCCAATCTTATGTTGTATTGTATGCCTGTTTGTTCCCAGCTCTGCTTTTCTGTAAACAGAATTATTTGTAGTAGTTTCGACGACATTAAGGACTACCAAGTATTCTCTGAGTAGCGTTGTGTCGATGTTAGGAGAAAGCAAACACTCCTCAGCTCCTCTCTCGTTATGTTTCCATTAGGCATCACGCTCGTTGATGGGATCTCAACCTTAGGCAAAGAAATTAAAATCTTTGTTTGGAATATCCATGTTAGTACAGTCAAACCTGTCTACAAAGACCACCTGTCTACAACAAGCACATTTTTTGTTTCCCTTGAAAATGGTTTCTCATTGAAACATGTACTAAAGGAACCTGTCTACAAAGACCACCCGACTACAAAGACCATCTTTTGTGTTTCCATTAAGCGGTAACTGTAGACAGGTTTGACTGTACATACATTTGCAGATTAGATTTCAACAAAACTAAGGTTGACTTACAATGTCAATGAAACGGATTGGAAAAGAAGGAAAAACAATATATATATGTATTTAAATGAAGGCATAATGTTCTTTCCCCACAATCCATTTTTAATGAGTACAGATAATATGTGATTTGGTTATTGTGGGTAGTTACTTTTTTTTGGATATTTCACTAGATTTAGGCATTTTTTGCTGGAATTCTTCTTTGTCCACTGTTACAAATTTCAGACTGTTTTGTGTGAAATGCTCAGATTAGATTTGCTGAATTCTGATATTCTTTCGTATGTTTCTCATTTGTTTCCAGTTTAACATTTTGTGTGGTCCTTGTCATGTATGTTGAATGTTATGTTGATTATTGCTCCTTTTTCACCATTTTTGTTCCATTTTCACCATTTTTGTTTTCTCTTCCAAATGAGGTTATTACTTTGTTTCAGAATGTATTTAAGGGGAAAAAAGGAAACAGTCTTATAAAGTGAGAAGAAGAATTTGTGTACATGTATATCAATTTATTTAAAACAAAATGTATGTCCGATGTATTGTATAAAGAGCATTCAATTTAAATGTTTTCATTGTTTTTAAGTTGATAATAAAACAGAAAAAAATACAAACATGACAAAAAAATGATATTGGCTTAATGACCTTGTTGAAGATATGCCTGCATGTACTTTCTTGGCTTGTATGTTTAGTGTGTTCATACGCATAGTTTCTTTTTTCACGCCCTTGTGAACATGTACTACATCTACTATTACGATTACTACTACTACTTCTACTGTTATTGTTTCTTGTAAATGATAATGCAATATTTTTTATGTACAATTCCAATGGAGACATAAAAAGAGAAATGTTGGTGTCTTGAACTAATTAAAATAAAATCAAACAAACAATGTAAAAAATGAAAAGATAGAATATAGACTTAATTATTGTAGTTGGCATGTTGTAAGTTAAATATGTTTACTTGACGTGAGGTAAAAGATGACAACGATCCTTGTTTGTGATATCAAACAAACGCATCATCGCAAAGAAGTACAGAGAAATCAATTCGATCAATACCAGGGGGGGGGGGGGGGGGGCATTTCACAGAACTTGTCATCAGTGACAAATGACAGTTTTATTTATAAGCTAGTGAAATCCTTGCTTCTGATTGGTTATCAGCAGATTTGTCATTGATTTTTGTCATTTAACATTGAAAAAAGGCTTTGTGAAACGGGGCCCCAGGAGCCTCGTAATCAACTTTTGTGATATGCTAGCATTACATGAAATGACATGGAGGATCTGATGCAAAATCCAAACTTGATTTCTAGAAAAATACAATAAAAGGTTTTGAAACTGCTCTAGGTTGATTTCTGGAAAGTCTTTGCGATCATGTTCAAAATATTTGACTTCTCTTTTACTCCTGTTGGCCTAATTTGTCTTCCTTTCTTTTCTTATAATTTAGAAAATGAAATAAGGGTCATAATTCAATAGATGAAATAGATTCATAATTCGTTCGCGGAATGATGGAACCGCCGGAATAATGAGTCCTATTTCATTTTTGGAATTACAAACCCTATTTCATTTTTGGAATTACGTACCCTTTTTTATTTTCGGAATAACAAACCCTATTTCATTTTTGGAATTACAAACCCTATTTCATTTTTTTGAATTACAAACCCCGTTTCTTTTTTGGAATTGCAAACCTATTTCATTTTCGGAGTTAACAACCCTTTTTCATCTTCGCAATTACGACCTCTGTCTTTCTGCCTAATGAGATGTTATCCAACTTTGATAACTGTCCAACATTACTAATTTGGAGGAATGATTCCTAAATTGTTGTACCTTCTTGGGGTGGATATGTGCGCATTATAAATGTTGTTATTATTATTATTATTAATAGTGTTAAACGATTATTCCTCTCTTTTCTAAAATCTCCTTTGTAAAAACATACAAAATACATTGCATTCCTACGTATGCCTTGGGAGATTCTGATTTATTATGTGGCACTGTATCATTCCTCTCCTTTTTTGTAATTCTTTAAAATTGCAAATAAATGTACATATTCATACTTTTTTATAATTCAAGATTTAGAAAACAATATTCGAGGGGAAAAAAACACAATATTGTTCATGATTATAAGTAAAATCTGCACTTCCTGTTTTGATAGTTGTTGGAGAAAATTTAATAACTCAAAGAAAAAGGAAAGAAGATCAGAGGTAAGGATTAAGGTGCTGTGAAAAGGGGGGGGGGGAAATGACCTCCAGCAATGCACCTCACGAATCACCATTCACTGTTACACCGAAAGCAAATGACACTCCCTCATCCCAGCTTCCACTTACAACCCCTCACCCCAACCTCCACTCACAAGCCCTCATCCACGATCTTCTCTTCTCTCTCTTCTTTTCTTTCATTCTCTCTATTACACTGCACATGTACATATTTTTTTATATGCGCTACACAGTGAGTCCCAGAAAAAATCACAACTTAATCGCAATTATAATTAATAAAAGACACATAATTATGTCGAGCTTTGATCCTCCTCTTTCATTTGATGCAACTCATAATTATGATGCATATTTCACGCATGAGTGATTAAACACAATTTAAAGAGAGGAAATCAAAAAGTCATTTGGCGGGCGGTATCTGCATTTCAAAGAGAAAATCACTAGAAAGTTCAATTTCTGCCCTTTCATATGACACCTCAATCAGGTCAAATGAGCCAGGGATAACGAAGTTCTGTTTGTTTAAAGTAATGCTTGCATTTCCATAATTTTATTAAAGGAGTTAGTTTGCACTGGCTACCTGCCGTAGCAACAGACCGAGTTGACAAAAGACTTAACTCCGTTTCGTTGACGATCAGCCATGCACAAAGAAGACGAAAGACTTGATGCGTGAAATATGCGTCATATGAGTTGCATCAAAATGAAGAGGAGGATCTAAGCTTAATAAATATGTGTCATTTATCAATTATAATTGTGATGAAGTTATTTCTGGGACGCATTGTATAAGTATGGCATATTATATAATGTTTATATAATATATTTATAGATCAACCTGTCGCATATCTTTTTGACTTTTGAGACAGTTTGTATCATGACATGAATAATTAATCAATTTTGGCAAATTACTGTCGGGACGGCAGACATGCCTGCCAAGTGAACCCATTTTATGTCATTGTTTCTGGGAACTCTCGAAAAGTGCATTTACCCCAAACAAAGTTACGACAAAATAATTAGATAAAACGGTCGCGCCGGTTTGAAATGGGGGTAAAATAACTGGCAATTTCTCTTTACCGGTCGTGGACATATAGGCCTATTTGGCATAGGGTAGTTCGATTAGCTGCAACTTGCAACTACCAAAGGTTTTTAAACCTAAATTTTGCCCCTGTACGTCGATATGCTCCTGAGGATTAATTTCAAGACCGCATTGTTTAAAAAAAAAACTCGAGAACATTGTATTTATTCTATGTTTATACATACAATTATCTTTCTACATGATGCATTATATATAATATAAGAGTTTTTGCTTGACATTTTGACTACTTTCTTGCGATCTTTCTACACAGGCCAAATAAAATTAATTCATACTTTCCGTCCTCTTCTCCTTCCCTTTTGTCGGCCCGTCTCGCCTTGATTTTTTTTTTGACAGTTTTGTTCTAGAATTGAAATAGAGAACAATCTTAGGACATCTAGACAATTAGATAACAAAGATCATCATGCAATTCGAATTTGTCTTGAACCCCTGAAAAGCTATACAGTAGAAGGTAAACGGAATTGATAAAATTATTTGTTTAATTTGATCCAACAGCATTTCTATGTAAATGAAAAATCTGAAGATAATACTCCTCATCCTCATTTTCCCCATAAATCGTACAAGAAATCAACTTTACTAAGGATTAAAATTTTAGCAGATATACTTTCTCATTTCTCCTTTAATCTCTTTCTTTCTTCTCTCTCTCTCTCTCTCTCTCTCTCTCTCTCTCTCTCTCTCTCTCACTCTATCCCTCTCACTGCCCCTTTCTCTCTCTCTCCCTCCCCCTCTCTCTCTGTACTTTTCCTCATTCCTCCCCATTATGTTCCCCTCGTAGCCTCTCTAATCGATGAGAATGTTGGTTTGTAAGTCAGACATCTCGTCTGTCATCCAAGGCCAGGTTTGGTGGGTATGTTGGGGGTGTGTGCTTCCGAAACATGAGCCATTCTCCTTTTAAGGAAACACCATTACCTTATAAGTGTATCAAATCACCTTATAAGGAGAGATGACTAATTAATGAGTTAAGTGTTCACGTCGTGACACTGGATTATCTCGGTGACTGGGGTAGTAGTAAGATGAGCTGGCTATGTTTTGATTCGGTATGTCTCTTGTCGTCGGGGTAGTGCGTCGTCAGGTATTATTTAATATTAATGATTGTAGGCAGCCCGCCAAATCATCGGCACCTCGATCAGCACGAACTTTTCTGAACTTGTTTCAGCGTGCTCAAAATTTTCCACTCTCCCCATTCTATAACCAGAAAAGAATTTGAAGAAGAAAAAAATAAAATAAAAATCGGTTATCAAGTTTCGAACCCATCATTGCAGCTTTCATAGTTTATATTCTTTAATAATAATAATAGAAGTAGAAGTAGCACAGTAGTAGTAGTATTATAGTATAATTGTAATAATAATAATAATAATAATATCAGGAATATAGTATTAGCAGTTTTACTACTATTACTATTACTACTACTACTACTACTACTACTACTACTACTACTACTACTACTACTACTATACTAATACTACTAATACTAATACAACTACTACTACTACTACTGCTACTACTACTTCTACTACTACTACTACTACAACTACTTTTACTACTAAAAGCGTATAAGCCTAACGGTCTTAGAAAAAAAAGGCATTTGAACTAAAGAGGTTTTCAAAATCCACGGACTCTGAAAAAAATACAGTCGTTTATAGGCTGAAGCAATTTGCCTTGATTAAATGAACTTAATACAAAAAAAATATTGTTCCCTTTTTTCAGTTATTTTCAGACAATGTTATATTGGTTATTCATCCTTAAACCTCAATATATCAAAAACAAAGAAGCACGACAGGCATAAGAATGACCAACCAACATTTAGATGAGTAGCGGCAGATACATAATAGTAAGGGAAAAGGAAGGGGAATTTGACAGACAACATTCCTTCACTGAAAACATGGAAATAATGTCAACATGAACAATATGGCATGAATGGATCGCATGAGCCAAAGAGGTCACCGGTCACAAAGTTCGTTGAAAACAGCAGGGTTACTGTACTTTTTTTGAAGTCGCGTGATGATGAGATGAGTTATGATAATGTTTTTATCGAGTGAACATGAGATTTCGTCTCATTAATGCCTCCCATCCTAGCATGTCTGATCATTTGTGATTTGATTGCAAGTGTCACCAGTCTTATTTGTGCCTTGGATGTATATTTTGGCTGAAAATACACCTTTTATGGCTAAATATCAGATATCATTTTCTATTATTTATTGTTTTACCTTCATAAAGTTCATTTTCCCTTCATATTTACTCCTCATTATTATCAATATGATTTACCTTTGCGTCCTTATGTTGCTTTGATATAGTATTTTCATTATAGATTAGATTGTAAACATATACATTATGTTGGTATATAGGGGCATGCGGTCTTGAAATGATATGTAAATTAATATTACATCGTGTACATAAAGAAGAAAACAATAAATAAATGAAACTGATTTGGAAGCTTGTATCAAACATGAAATGATCGTAATAAAAGTCATAACACGAGTATCATTATTTTAAAGAAAGCTTAACGAAACTTTGATATTATGCATAATATCCTTACTGCAAATACTTTAGTGGCGACTATTGGTTTATATAGAAATGACAGTTTTGAAATGTGTAAAAACACCTGCAG